CTGTCTATCTATCCGTCTGTCTGTTGAAATCATGATACAGGCCACATTATTTGACGTAGAGCGCCAAAATTTAACAGAGCAATTTGTATTGTGTCTAGGATGGTTGGTATTGAAAATGAGATATATCGGTCCACGTTCTGGTATAGTCTCCATATAACGGTACCTCCCGATATTCGGTATTTTGATGATTTATGCCACATTTTTCACGGATTTGTCTAAAAATTGGTATTTGTTGGTCATAATGGGTTCCAGCCCCGGTATCGAAACATTGCATGTATGGGTCCACGATTTGGTATAGCCCCCATATAAAGGTACCTCCTGATATTCGGTATTTTGATTATTTTTTGCCACATTTTTTCACGGATTTGTCTAAAAATTGGTATTTGTAGGTCATAACGGGTCCCTGTATGTGTGGCAAAACATTTCATGCATGGGTCCACGTTTTGGTATAGCCCCCATATAACGGTACCTCCCGATATTCGGTAATTTGACGATTTTTGCCACCTTTTTTTCACGGATTTGTCTGAAAATTGGTATTTGTAGGTCATAATGGGTTCTAGCTCCGTTGGCGAAACATTGCATGTGTAGGTCCACGATTTGGTATAGCCCCATATAACGATACCTCCCGATATTCGGCATTTTAATGGATTTTGCCACATTTCTTCTAATGTTTCCTTTACCCTAAGGTGGAGGGTATTAAAAGTTTGGCCCGACCGAACTTAATGTTTTTTTACTTGTTTTTTAATCAAAGTTGTTGAAAGTCCTTGCAAAAATATTTAAAAAAAACGTCGTCAATAGTCCTTGAAATAAATATTCTTTTGAAAATTCAATTTGTTAATAGTCCTTGAAAAAATATTCTTTAAACAAACTTGACAATAATGTGCATTTTTCGTCCTCTTAGAAGGAATTCTCCCTTTATATATTTGCCTTTTAAACGGAACCCGCAATTTTTCCAGGATTAAAATTAGGTTTGCAAATTGACATTTGGAACAAGACTTGATAATGAGACAGCATCTCATTCTATATTTCGTGCTTTCACTTCACTTAATTTTGTACTTCTTTACGAGTTTTAGAAATACTTTAACACCACCACATTATTCAGTAAGTTATGTCCTTTTCGGGGGGCGATCAGGTTTACCATTTCCAATAATCTTTGGTCTACCTAGTCCTCTTCGAACGTCCGCAGATTCAGAATTTTCTTGTTCAACTGAAAAATTAAATCCATAAAATTTTTTGGTTTCTTGAAAATTGTCATGCGAATTTGACTGACTATTCCTCATCGATTTCTAGGTTTGTTTCTTATCCTTCCACTGATTCCTACGGATCATAATGTTTCGAATGCACAGAAAAATACATCTCTGGTATTTCTTCTTGCTATTTTTTTTGTAATGTTTTATTTTTATTCAAGATTGCCCGCTACTTCGTAAGCGAAAAGTCTACCCTCAAATTTTAGATTCGTTCCGACAGTTCATATAAAAAACAGGGTGAGATGAAAAAAACTGCAACCAAATTCAGACTGCTGTCATTTCAAAGCCACTCGTCCGACAGCTGTTAAAATTATTCCAGTGACAATTCATTATATTGTTTACAAGCTTTTATACATCTCTTGAGGAGAACAAAGGAGAAATAAATACATTGAAAACAAAAACAAGCTAGGCAAAGGACATGGCTGGGAAGGAAGGAAGAGAGCAAAAATGCACCGGGAAAAAAAACCAAGGGCGGGGTTCTCCCACCAATAAATGACCTATGGGAGACATTTAGGCATTAGAAGGTCTTCTGTCTATAAAAAGTCTTAGGGAAGGTTACTTTCTGTAAATGGGCTGAAGGAGGACTTGTTTCGGCAAAAGCTTTGAAGAAGAAGTCTACAGCACACATATAAAAGTTGTTCTTCCAGTAAAAGATCTAGAGAGGATGTTCTGTCTCTAAAAAATCTATGAAAGGTTTTTTGTGTATAGGTAGATCCTGTGAGTCCTTAGAACGTCTTTTAAGTTTATAAGACAGAAAAAGGTATTTTTTCATAACTCGTCCGACAGCTGTTAAAATTATTCCACTGACAGCTCATTATATCGTTTACAAGCGTACAAAAGCATTTTGCTGAGAATTTTCCAGAAAAAAAGTTATTCGTGATGGTATTCAAGCGTGATAGTGTGATTTCGTTATTTTCGGCAGGAAAACCACAAGTGGCTATCGTTCGAGCACTCCAGCATTTAAATGTGAATAAATCTTTTATGTCTCGTACCATCGCTCGTTACCGTGATACTGACAGCGTAGCCCGACGTCAAGGAAGTGGACGGAAGAAAACAGCAACATCAGCAGAAATGGTGCGAAAAGTAAAGAAGCGAATTGATCGAAACCCTCGTCACAGTGCCGAAAAATAGTTCGTGGGCTGAACATATCGCAATATTTCATTCGGCAAATATTGAAAAATGAGCTCGGGGTAAAGCCATTGCAATTCCAAAAAGTCAAGAACTTACACCGCAATAGAAAGAAAATAGACTCAAAAGATTTACTTCGCTTGGCCAAAAGTGGTGAATTGCCGAATTTGTTTTTTTCCGTTTTCTCCGATGAGAAAAAATTCGTTGTCCAGCAGTTTGTAAACAAATAAAATGATCGTGTTTACTCGCCGAAGACGTCAGCTGAAAATGTGCACCTTCGGTTGGCCACCTGAACTCAAGCGCCAGCCATGGTGATAGTGTGGGCCGCTATAACAGCCGATGGTCGCTCTCCGCCCGTATTAATCGACGATGACATCAGAATAAATGCCGAATATTGTCGCACTCAGCACGCGCCACCCAAGAATGGATACAAAATAAGTTTCCTCACTTCATTTCCAGTGCACAATGGTCACCAAATTCTCCGGGTACCAATCCGCTGGACTATTGTGTCTGGAGTATTTTGGAAAGCAATGTTGGCACTAAAAAAATACCAAAGTGTCGATCACCTCACGCAAGTGCTTCGCCGGGAATGTGCCAAAATACCGCAAAACAACATTCGAACAGCGTGTGGCGGTTTCATTGGCCTTTTGAAGGCCATAATTCGGGGTAAAGGTGGCCAATTCGAACAAATCTAAACTTATTCTAAAATTTGATACTATTTCCGAAATTTTCATTCATAAAATTAAAAAAATATATAAATTATGGCGTTTGGCTTTGTTGCAATTTTTTTTTATCTCACCCTGTATATTCTTGATCAGCATAAAGTTCTATGTCGATTTAGCTATGTCCGACCCACTGTCTGCCTGTGGAAATCATTTTAGCTTCCGAACGAAATGAAGTAGGTTGATAAAATTTTACTCAAATGTATATTATGTCTACAGGACTTTTGGTATTGAAAATAGGCCATGTAGGTCCACCCCTTCGTATAGCCCCCATATGATGGTCCCTCCCTATTTTCGGTATTATGGTGATTTAAGCGACATTATTCACCGGAAATGTTTCAAATTTTGTATTTGAAGTTCGTAATTGATACTACAACCTATGACAGAAAATTATCTGTGCAGGTCCACTTCCTCGTATAGCGCTCATATAACGGTACCTGCCGATATTCGGTATTTTGATGATTTTAGTGACATTATTCACCAGAATTGTATGAAATTTTATATTTGAAGGAACTACAGCCTGTGTTAGAAAATTGTCCATGCAGGTCTACTTCGTATAGCCCCCATGTAATGGTAGCTCCCGATATTCGGCATTTTGATGATTTTTGCGACATAATTCACCGGAAATGTTTCAAATTTGGTATTTTAAGTTTTTAATAGATACTATAGCCTTGGACAGAAAATAGTCTGTCCAGGTCCCCGTCTTCGTATAGCCCCCACATAACTGTACCTCCCTATATTCGGTATTTTGACGATTTTAGCGACATTATTCACCGGAAATTTTTAAAATTTGGTATTTGAAGTTCGTAATGGATACTACAGTCTATGACAGAAAATTGTCAATGCATGTCCGCGTCTTCGTATAGCCCCATACAACCTTTCCTCCCGATATTCGGTATTTTGTTGATTTTACCGGCATTATTCACCGGAATTGTTTCAAATTTGGTATTTGAAGTTCGTAATGGATACTAAAGCCTATGACAGAAAATTGTCTGTGCAGGTCCAAGTCTTCGTATAGCCCCCATATAACGGAACCTCCCGATATTCGGTATTTTGATGATGTTAGCGACATTATTCACCGGAATTGTTTCAAATTTGGTATTTGAAGTTCCTAATAGGAACTACATCCTGTGCCAGAAAATTGTCCATGCAGGTCTAGGACTTCGTATAGCCCCCATGTAATGGTAACTTCCGATATTCGGTATTTTGATGATTTTAGCGATATTATTCACCGGAATTTTTTAAATTTGGTATTTGAAGTTCGTAACGGATACTACAGCCTATGACAGAAAATTGTCTGTGGAGGTCCACGTTTTGGTATAGCCCCCATATAATGGTAGCTCTCTATATTCGATATTTTGATGATTTTAGCTGCATCATTCACAGATTTTTTTTTTTTTTCAAGTTTCGCATTTGAATATTGTAATGGCTTATGATAAAAGTTGCCTATGCAGGTCCACGTCGTCGTATAGACCCTAATATAACAGCTACATTTGATTTTTTTAAGATTTTAATAGAACTTTAAACGGATTTTATAATTTTTTTTTAAATTGCCAAATTTTTTCCAAATGTTGAAGGGTATTCAAAATTCGGCCCGATCGAGATCTTCCAACTTTTTTTACTAGTTTAGGTCTACTTTCATAATCTGCTGGAATTTTCCCATAACTATTGAAACAATTGAATTTTGTCGAAAAGTGTAATCCTTGGAAAAATATTCTTTCAAAAATCCACATTTAAAAAATATTTTTCAAAACTCTATTTTGTTTATATTTCTTGGCAAAATATTCTTTATAAAATTCCTTTGCTGGATATGTCTTGGTTTTTTTTGTGAAAAATTTCCTTCTGTTTCAATATTTTCCTCGGAAATTTATGAAAAACTTTTCCCCTTACTCCTCTCTTCCAGATATACGAAAAATCTATCATCGGATAAAATCAATTTAAGCACATTTCGCGGCGAAGGTGAATTATCCAATCTGCAGCTGGATGAGGCTGTGCTGACGGAATTATTGGAATTACCATCATGGTTGCGTTTAACATCGGCCTGGTGCAATCACGTTTCATTTCGCATCAGTTGGACAAAATTGAAAAGTGTGCCCATAACATTGGTAAGTGCAGGGGTGGTCTGGTCTGGTCTGGTGGTAGTGGTGGACGACATCAATTATTAATGGAATATTATTTTTTTATATTTTGTTTTCAGACATTGGATGAAGTCAACATTACCGTGGAGACCTGTGATCCGAATGCCAGACAGGCGGATAGTAAGTCACCAAATGGCATGAATGGCAGTGGTAGTGGAGGAGGAGGAGGTGGTGGGAGTGCTGGTGGAGGTTCATTGCCGCATGTACCTCAGGGCAAATACAGTTTCATACACAAGGTGGTCGATGGCATTACCATCATTGTGAATACCGTTAATGTGAAATTTTTAAGCACAGCGTTTACGGCCTCGGTTCAGGTGAGGAAAAATAAAAAAACTTTAAATTTAATAAAAATATGAATAAATTCATTACTGTTTTCCTTTCAGATGTCCCGCATTCGTGTCGAATCCAAAACACCCAAATGGGCGACGGGTGATTTGCGTTTTACTCGCTTAAAAGATACCCACAAAGGCATTATATTGATATTCAAAGAGCTATCATGGCAAACGGTGCGCATTGAAGCCAGTTCCACACAGGATAAATCTCTAACACCGCTACGCCTCTTAACCAATCATGCAAGATGTAGGATTACCATACGAAAACGTCTGGCCGATTGTAGCCTTTTGGCATCACGTTTGGTGCTAATTCTGGATGATTTGTTGTGGGTTCTGACGGATTCTCAGCTCAAGGCAGCGCTACATTTTGTTGATTCCCTTTCGGGTCTGATTAAGGCCGCCACCCATGCCACACAGAAATCGAAGGCGGCACGGAAATTGGAGGTATGAAAGAGGATTTTTATGTGGATTTTTTTAATAATGATTTTATCTTTATTTTACAGACCCTTCCCGAATACCAGGCCCAACTGGCCCAGCAACAAAATCGCCAAAGTGAATCATCCCATTCAAATGCCCAACAAAAAATGTTCAATGCCTTCGATGTGCGAGAGACATCGTATCATTTCTTCAGTCAACGTATCGATCTTCATCTGTGTGATGATGAAGGAGGTAAGGATATATGAAGACTCTGTAATAATAGGAGAGCTACTACAACAAATATAACGATTGCACTTCACGTTATATTGACAAAAAATTACAGGAGTCTTGTCTAGGAAATCTTGTAAGGAAGGAAAATGTCTAGTTGACATTAAGAATGGTGAAGGTAAATTCTAAACAAAATTCTAAAAAACGACTCCCTCAAGCATATTTGAGGCTTTCTGGCGAGGTCGACATCTTTATTACCAGGGAACTGCAATTTACCAAACGAAAACTGCTACTCGTCAGTCTCTTTTCAAAAGGCCAGGATTATATTTCTTCAAATTTAAAAAGATTACCAGAAGAAATAGTCCGATCTCTATCATCTTTATAACAGATCTTGTGTTGATGGAAATATTGAGATGTATCAAGTCTGAATGGAATCGGGTGTTTATTTTCGAGTTTTATGAGCTTCATGGATATTCAAAACATTGACGCTTTGTTGGGGAGGTATCAGAAGAAATGGTCCGATCTCTACAATGTTTATTACAGATTTGGTTTTGATGGAAATATTGAAATGTTTCAAGTTTTAATGGCGTCAGATGTTAATTTCGCGTTTTATAAGCTTCATGGATACTCAAAGTTTAGATCGTTTGTGGGGGAGGCACCAGAAGGAGTGGACCGATATATACCATCTTGTGTTAGTAGACATAATGATATGTGTAAAATATGAAGAGAACCAGATGTTTATTTCGGATTGTATAATCGTTTTCGTTATTCAAAACTTTGACCCTTTGTGGGGGAGGTACCAGAAGGAATGGTCGAATCTTTACCATCTTTATAACAGATCTTGTGTTGATGAAAACATTGGGACGTGAGAAGTCTGTATGGCATCGGATGTTAATTTCGTCTTTAATTGAGCTTCATGAATATTCAAAATTTTGATCCTCTGTGTGGAAGGTACCAGAAGGAGTGGACGGATATATTCCATCTTCAAACCAGATCGTGGGTTAATAAAAATATGCCGATGTGTGTAATTTAAAGACAGTCGGACACTTGCATAACATTTTATAAGAGTTATATTTATTCCAAATGTTAACCCCTTGTGGGGGGAGGTACTTGATGGAGTGAACCGATGTTGTCTGTTTTCGCACCTAACCTAGCACTGATGCAAATAATAGGATTTGCAAAGTTGGAGCAAAATCGGATTATCTTTTCTCTTTCTGTGCAAATTTTTTTTTTTTTTGGAAATTTCGACCATTTGTGGGGGAGGTACTTGATAGAGTGGACCGATATATTCCATTTTAACGCCAGACCTTGTGTTAATAAAAATATTGTGATGTGTGTAATTTGAAGACAGTCGGACACTTACATAACATTTTATATGAGTTATAATTATTCCAAATGTTGACATCTTGTGGGGGAGGTACTTGATGGACTGCACCGTTATTGTCCATTTTCGCACCTAACGTAGCACTGATGTAAATATTAGGATTTGCAAAGTTGGAGCAAAAACGGTTTATCGTTTCTCTTTCTGTGCAGAAAATATTTTTTGAACATTTCGAGCTTCTATGGAGGAGATACGAGAAGGAGTGGAGTGATATATTCCATTTTAACGCCAAACCTTGGGTTAATAAGAATATTGAAATATATGAAATTTAAAGACAATCGGACTCTTACATCACATTTTATAAGAGTTGTAATTATTCCAAATGTTGACCCTTTGTGGGGGAGGTACTTGATAGAGTGGACCTATATTTTCGCACTTGACGTAGCTCTATTGCAAATATTAGGCTTTGCAAAGATGGATGGTTTGACAAAAATATTACGATGTACCAAGTTTGGACCAAATCGGATACTCCCTTTCGAGAGTTATCGTGTGCACCAGCCAGACAGAAAGACGTCCGTCTGTCGCTAGGTCGACTCCTAATGTCCTGAAACGGATTTGGTCCAAAGAGATCTAAGTCTAAAATCGTTATTTCGATGAGGCACGTTTTGGCCGTAGCAAATGATGTATACCCTCTCTAGTCACATGTCTAAGGATATGAAAACTTCAAAAAATGATCATACTTCTATTAATACAGGGTGAGATAAAAAAAACTGCAACAAAGTCGCCATCATTTTTACATTTTTTTTAAATTTTATTGAATTAAAGCAAAAAATATCGGAAATAGCATCAAATTTTAGAACAAGTTTAGATTTGTTCGAAATGGTGAGCTTTGGCACGAATTATGGCCTTCAGACGGCCAATGAAACCGCCAAACGCTGACCGAATGTTGCTTGGTGGTATTTTGGCCCATTCCCGGCGAAGCGGTTATTTGAGGTGGTCGATACTTTGGTATTTTTTAGTGCCAACATTGCTTTCCAAAATATTCCAGACACAATAGTCCAACGGATTGGTATCCGGAGATTTTGGTGGCCATTGTGCGCTGGAAATGAAGCGAGGAACCTCATTTTGAAACCATTCTTGGGTGGGTCTGCGGCCAAAATGTTAGCGTGACCAAGGCTTTAGTACACCCTCCAGAATATTTTCGCGATAATATTCGACATTTATTCTGATGCCACGGTCGATTAATACGAGCGAAGAGCGACCATCGGCTGTTATGGCGGCCCAAACCCTCACCATGGCCGGCGCTTGAAGATGCACATTTTCAGCTGAGCGCTTTAGCAAGTAAACTGCTGGACAACGAATGTTTTTTCATCGGAGAAAACCAAATTTGGCAGTTCACCACTTTCGGCCAAGTGAAGCAACTCTTTAGCTCTTTTGAGTCTATTTTAATTCCGTTGCGGTGTAAGTTCTTACACTTTTTGGAATTTCAATGTCTTTACACCGATCTCATTTTTCAATATTTGCCGAATGGAATATTGTGATATGTTCAGCTCACGAGCCATTTTTTCGCCACTGCAACGCGGGTTGCAAGTCGCTTCTTTACTTTTCTAAGCATTTCTGCTTATGTTGCTGTTTTCTTCCGTCCACTTCCTTGACGTTGGGCTACGCTACCAGTATCACGGTAACGAGCGATGGTACGAGACACAAAAGATTAATTCACATTTAAATGCTGGAGTGCTCTAACCATAGCCACTTGTGGTTTTCCAGCCAAATATAAAGAAATTACACCATCACGCTTGAATTCCATGACGAATAACTTTTTTTTCTGGGAAATTCTCACCAAAATGCTTTAGTACGCTTGTAAACAATATAATGAACTATCACTGGAATAATTTTAACTGCTGTCGGACCAGTTTCTTAGAAATAACAACAGTCTGAAGTTGGTTGCAGTTTTTTCATCTCACCTGTATACCCTCTGTAGCCATATGGCTGAGAATATAAAAACTTCAAAATTATACTTCGATTGATATTCTTGTTATTATTTTCCCGATTCTTACTTCTTTTCGAAGTTATGTTAAAGGGGAAAAATGTGTTCTATATCTCACCCTTTGCTATGGTATTATTCTATCTAAGGGGAAGATGCAGCTTTGGCACTTGATAATATCTTCCTTACCGGAAAAAAGGATTTCCTTTTGATTTGCCTGGAAGCTATTTGGTGCGATACTAATGATATCTGCTTGAGCTTGAAATGCGGGGTGTATAAAATTGGGGTATATCCAAAAAAACTAGGCCCTTCAATTGAAAAGAAGATGTTTATCAGATATCCGATCTAAATGGATCTTTGTTTTCTTGCAAGTTCTAGATTTAGTCTATGAAAGCCTTCTAGCGATGTTAATCTTTGAAAATTCTTCTTTTTTCGAAGTTTTCTATGCTTTCTTTATGGAAAATATTTTTCTAGTATCCAATACCCAAGTATATGGAAGGGGAAATATTTTGTTCAAGGGACCACCGTTTAAAGTTCTTCGATCTATAGGCGACATTTATTTACGAAAGATATTTAGAAATTTCAATATCTATAGAGAGAATTACTTCCAAAGAATCACTTTCGACGTTATACCTTAATAGATATCGGTAAAGGCCTATAGAAGACATTTTAGGGCCCAAAAAGTTCTTTTGTATTTTGAAGACTTTTCAAAGTTCAATGAAGAGAGAAAAAGAAAAATATCTATATGTGGGGCTTTATCTATTAAACCAGTAAAGAAAGTCTTAAAGTCGGGCGGGGCCGACTTTATGATACCCTACACCACTTTGCTGATTTAGTAGAGCTCCGCATAACAATTAAAAGTTTTTATAGGAGAATTCAATCATACACGCTATGATTATAATTATAATTTTAAGTTCAAAGGACTAAATATGCCGATGCATTTGTATCTTTTAAATTCGGACTTGTTTTGCCCAATTGGTGCACAATTAATTTGAAATCGGATAAAAATATATATGGGAGCTATATCCAAATCGAACCCGATCTCGATAAAAATTGGCAAAGATATTTCTGAGCTGTATTTCATATATTTCTCTAAATATCGTTGTTACGGAGTGCATATTACGGCTGTGGGTAACAAATATGACAAATCGGATGAACAGTATATATGGGAGCTATAGCTATATCTGAACCGATCTTCACCAAACTTGACATACTCTCTTCTCAGTTCGGTCGTAAGTGCCAAATTTCATCCAATTTGGGCAAATATTAGACGTTTGGTGCACAATCAAAGGTAAATCGGACGAAGTTATATATGGGAGCTATATCCAAATCTGAACCGATCTCGATAAAATTTAGCAAATGTATTTCTGAGCTGTATTTGATATATTTCCCCAAATATTGTTGTTACAGAGTGCATATTACGGCTGCGAACGACAAAAATAGCAAATCGGATGAAAAATATATATGGGAGCTATAGCTATATCTGAACCGATTTCGATCAAATTTGGCATACTTATTTTCAGGCTTAATTTGGTTGTATGTGCAAAATTCCATACTATTCGGGCTGATATTACACGTTTGGTGCACAATAAAAGGCAAATCGGACGAAGATATATATGGGAGCTATATCCAAATTTTGACTGATTATCTCCAATTTCAATAGGGTTCGTCCTTGGGCCAAACTAATCATTTGTGCTAAATTTCATCTGGATAGGGCAATAAATGCGATCTGTACTTTGTTTACAAAAATACATGGACAGACGGACGGACGGACGGACGGACAGACGGACGGACGGACATGCATAAATCGACTCAGAATGTGATTCTATGCAGATCATCAAAAGGAACTATAGGTCTATCTTGTTTCCTTTTGCCTGTTACAAACAAATGCACAAAGACATAATACCCTGACCACCTTGTGGTGTAGGGTATAAATATATAATTATATACATTGAGGGTCTTTGGTGACTCCAAAGAATACCTTTTAAAGACGTCATATCACACATAACAGTCACGTTGGAGTTATTTATTTCTATACCAAATACAACATTCACACAACCAATGTCTTCCTTTTCTCTACAGATGGCCGTTCCAGTTACCCAGATCTCGATAAAGGCGGTGCTTTGCAAATTTCCGTTCAAGCATTCCAGGTGGATTATTATCCCTATCATTTGGCCAAATCGGATAGATCTCATTGGGCTAAGTATGCTGTATTTCACATATCTAAATTTCAAATTAATAATATTACTTTCTTTCAATATTTTAGGTATAAAGAAGCCTCCTCATCGCCGGCCCTATGGCTAAAAGAATCCCTAAATGCTTTTCGCGAAGCTGTGCTCAATCTAAGTCAACCAAATCGTCCATCGACCCATGCTCCCCTAGAGCGTAGCACTCCCAATTCACCCATTGCTCTAAACGTTTCAAATTTGGCCAATTTATATCCCAGTAAACAGCAACAACAACAGCAAGCAACAACTACTTCCACTGGCAGTAGTACTCCGACACAATTCAATAGTAATCCAGGCTCAGCAGCAGGTTCGGCTGGTTCCGGTCCCGGCTCTGCTGGCAGCAGCTCTCAACATTCACAGAGCTATCAACAAAAATCCATATTGGATAATTTGGCAAAGCTAATGAGTTCCTGTGTCATTTTGCGTATTGAAGATTTTCAGCTGTATCGCGTTACCACATCGGGTAAAAAACAAATGCCCAAGGAATTTATATCGGGTGAGTGGCAATTGCCATGGGAAACTATAGCAAAATAATTGTCAATGGAGTGGTACTTGGATATATTTTTTTCTAAGTACAGACGATTATGGATAATTGGAATTTGTCGTAAAAATTATTCCGGATTTCTGCAATATTGTTCGTTTATAGTTTATCAGATTCACTAAAATCCTGGGGTTTAAATTGCCAATTCCATTGCATTAATCCTCATAGAGGAGGTTAACCCAGCAAAATGCTCTATTGCAAATATATTATATTACCAGATTTATATGTATACAGGGTGAGCTAAAAAAACGGAAACAAAGTCAAACGCCATAATTTTTACATTTTTTTTTTTAAATTTTATTGAATGAAAGCAAAAAATGTTGGAAATAGCATCAAATTTTAGAATAAGTTTAGATTTGTTCGAATTGGTCACCTTTGGCACGATTATGGCCCTCAAACGGCCAATGAAACCGTCACACTCTGCCCGAATGTTGCTCTGCGATATTTCGGCCCATTCCCAGCGAAGCGCTTGCTTGAGGTGATGGACACTTTGGTATTTTTTAGTGCCAACCATGCTTTCCAAAATACTCCAGACACAGAAGTCCAACGGATTGGTATCCTAAGATTTCGGTGGCCATTGTGCGCTGGAAATGAAGCGAGGAACCTCATTTTGTAACCATTCTTGGGTGGCTCGTGGTGAGTGCGATGGTGCTGAGTCCTGTTGGAATGTCCTAGGTCTGCGGCCAAAATGTTTGCGTGCCCAAGGCTTTAATACACCCCCAGAATATTTTCGCGATAACATTCAGCATTTATTCTGATGCCGATTAATACGAGCGGAGAGCGACCATCGGCTGTTATGGCGGCCCACACCATCAACATGGCCGGCGCTTGAGTTCTGTTGGCCAACCTGAACTCTTTGGCAAGTAAACACGATCATTTTGTTTGTTCTGCTGGACAACGAATGTTTTCCCATCGGAGAAACCCAAATTCGGCAGTTCACCACTTTCGGCCAAGCGTTGCGGTGTAAGTTCTTGCACTTTTTGGAATTTCAATGGCTTTACCCCGAGCTCATTTTTCAATATTTTCCGAATGGAATATTGCGATATGTTCAGCTGACGAGCCATTTTTCGGTCACTGCGACGCGGGTTTCGATCCAGTCGCTTCTTTACTTTTCGAAACATTTCTGCTGATGTTGCTGTTTTTTTCGTCCACTTCCTTGACGTCAGGCTACGCTACCAGTATCACGGTAACGAGCGATGGTACGAGACACAAAAGATTTATTCACATTTAAATGTTGGAGTACTCTAACGATGGCCACTTCTGGTTTTCTAGCCAAATATAAAGAAATCACACTATCACGCTTAAATTCCATCACGAATAACTTATGGAAAATGCTCATCAAAATGCTTATGTACACTTGTAAAGAATATAATGAGCTGTCACTGGAATAATTTTAACAGCTGTCGGAAGAGTGGCTTAGAAATGACAGCAGTCTGAAGTTGGTTGCAGTTTTTTTTTTTTTTTTTTCATTTTACCCTGTATATATGTGATAAAAATGTATTCCAATTATCCATAGTCGCCTGTGCGACAATGTATAACTATGAAACTAAATATGCTTTAAGTATTTTATTTCTATTTCAAAATCGTATTTTTTATTTTCTTTTTTTGTCCTGGCTTATTCTCCCAACCCCTTGCATTGTTTTTCCATTCATTCACATACATTGACATACATATTATACTGTAATTACTGCCTATTTTGTGGTCATCTTTGTTTTGCTGGTTGCATTTTCGCTGCTGTCTGTGGGAAATTGTGCCATAAAATCCCAAACATTATGCCGCCACCATGGGTGGTCCTTCGCTGCTGTTGGCGCTGCTTCATGGCAATGTTCATTTTCTGTTTTTTTTTATTGTTTTTCAACCATTTCGCAAACATTAACATTCTAATTTATGCTGTTATTTTGCCATTTATGTCCTTGTTGAGTTTTGTTTTGTTTTTTTTTTGTTATACGTTTTAATCCTTAATTGGTTGTTATTTAAAAATTCAAAAACACAACAACAAAAACATATTCATAACAACAAAAACAAATCGGTTACAAAATTATATTTATTGTAGCACAACATAAAAGGAAAACAAGAACAGGTGATTTAAATATTTAGAGGTTGTTGTTAATTTTTAGTTCTGTTTTTTGTAATTATTGCATGCAATCTATCTGTACGTTACATACACACATGTGTTGGTATAGTGTTTTGTTTTTAATTGTTGTTAGTTGAAAACTGTGTGAATAAATTAAAAAAACTCTGTAAATCGATTTATAGCCATAGTAGGGGCCTCTAAAGGGTGTTCCATACATTGAAGTGAAATATCTTGCTTTTAGAAGACGTATAAACTGAAGTTAATATATAGTCCACCGATTAAGGGGTTGGGTGGTCCAAGGGCCATTCTACTATAGTTATGAATATTTAGACAGTTCTTTATATTTTTTTATAGGGAGAAGCTCATATTTTTCCCCTCTGCAATACATTTTCTATATTCCCGGCTTCCTCAGCGAACTATAGTGGTTGGAATTCAAATTCAACATAGAGTTTAGAATTTTTCGGGCGATGTACCACAAAGTGGTAATTTATCTAATGTTACTAGAAGTATTGAGATGAGCAAAGGTTTTATAATTATTGAACTTTTAAGGGAGAGGTGCCAAAAGGCATGGACCGATGCCATATTTGTAACATATTTGTAACAGGCAAACGAAAACGAGATAGACCCATAGTTCATTTTGATAATCTGCAAAGAATCACATTCTGAGTCGATTTATGCTTGTTCGTCCGTCCATATATTTTTATAAACAAAGTACAGATCACATTTATTGCCCGATCCAGGTGAAATTTTGCACAAGTCATTTGTTTGATCCAAGGATAAACCCTATTGAAACTGGATATGATCGGTTAAAATTTATATATAGCTCCCATATATATCTTCGTCCGATTTGCTTTTTACTGTGCACCAAAACGTGTAATATCAGCCCAAATAGTAGGGAATTTAGCATATACGACCAAATTAAGCCTGGAAATAAGTATGCCAAATTTGATCGAAATCGCTTCAGATATAGCTATAGCTCCCATATTTATTGTTCAACCGATTTGATATTTTTGTCCTCCGCAGACGTAATATGCACTCTGTAACAACGATATGTGAGGGAAATATATCAAATACAGCACAGAAATACCTTTTCCAAATTTTATCGAAATCGGCTCAGATTTGGATATAGATAGGTTTCATAACGTGTAATATTAGTTTAATGGGATAGAATTTGACATTTTCGACCAGATTGAGCCTAGAAACAACTATGTCAAATTTGGATATAGCTATAGCTCCCATTGTATGTGTACGGCGTTCAGATAAGAAGTTGAATTTGGAAAAGTATGTAAATTTCGTATGTAGTATATAATTAGAGGTAAAATTTTGAATTTCAGCATGAGGGATATAGTGGCTGGGTAGGATTTAGACAAATGCGATATTTTTGGAAATGCGTACTTTATAGTGTACGAAAAGTACTAAATTTACTATATAGGGTGCATAATGAGGTAATTATAAATGTTGGCATAAGGGTTCACTTAGGGTGTGCAGGATTTAGGCAATGAGGTGTTTTGGAAAATACGTTTGGACCAAATCCGTTTCAGGACATTTGGAGTCGATCTAGCAATGTCCATCCGTCCGCCCGTCCGTCCGTCTGTCCGTCTGTCCGTCTTTCTGGCTGGTTGGTGCGAACGATAACACTCAAAGGGAGTATCCGAGATATTCCAAACTTGGTATATCGTAATATTATAATCAAACTTAGATCGAGTTCGGAGATGGACAATATCGGTCCACTCCTTCTGGTATCTCCTACACAAAATATCAACATTTTCAAAGAATATAATTTACTACACAGAAAGAGAAAGGATAATCCGATTTTGCTCTACCTTTGCGAATCTTAATATTTGCATCAGTGCTAGGTCAGGTGCGGAAATGGACAATATCGGTTCACTCCATCAAGTACCAACCTCACAGATGGTCAAAATTTTGAATATTCATGAATCTCATAAAACGGGAAATTAAGATCCGATTCCATTTAGACATGGCACATCTCAATATTTTCATCAACACAAGTTCTGTTATAAATATTTTACAAATCGGACCTAAGTTTTGAATAAACAAACCAATTATAAAATCCGAAATTAGCATCAGATTCTCTTCAAATTACACACATCACAATCTTTTTATTAACCCAAGGTCTGATGTGATAATAGAATATATCGGTTCTCTCCTTCTGGTACCTCCTCCACAAAGGGTCAATTGATGAATATCCATGAGCTCATAAAACGCGAAATTAACATCCCATTCCATTCAGACAAATCTCAATATTTCTATCAACACAATATCTGTTATAAAGATGGTAGAGGACAGACCATGCCTTCTGGTACCTTCCCACAAAGGGTTAAAGTTTTGAATAACCAAAACGATTGTAAAATCCGAAATAAGGATTCGGTTCCCTTCAAATTTCACACACCCTTTTTTTTCTACTAACTCAAGGTCTGGTGTGAAAATGGGATACATCGGTCCAATCCCTCACAAAAGCTTAAAATTTTAAATAACCAAAACGGTCATAAAATCAGAAATAAGCGTCCGGTACTCTTCATATTTCACACATGCCATTATTTTTACTAACACAAGATCTACTGTGAAAATGGGATATATCGGCGAACTTTTTCTGGTACATCTCCCACAAAAGGTTCAAATTTCTGAAAAACTCATAAAACGCGAAATAATCATTCAACTCTCTTCAAATTTTACACATCCAAATATCTGCTGTGAAGATGATATATATCTGCCAACCCCTTCTGGTACCTCACCTACAAAGGGTCACAATTTCCAATACTTATATATGGTATAACTTGCGAAACAAGTCGGCGATTCTTTACAACTTGCTATATCTAAAATATATCTCTTAACCAGAAATCTGATATGAATTTGTATTTTATCGACATTTTTGATTCCGCATAAAATTTTGCACATATCAATTTATCTGTATTAGATGAAGTATGAAACTGGAATACTTCGGTCTGCTGTATCTGTTACCTCACGCATATTTCCACATTTTCCAAAAATTTGCACATATCCCATATAAAGTATGGGAAGTAGTCGATATAGTCTAAATATAGCATGTTGTTGTATTTTTACCAGTCATTCATAGGAAGAGGTCAATATTGGCCAACCGCTTTGGAACCTCCCCAACCTAGGGTCAACAGTTTAAATAATCATAATTCGAGGCTGGAGGTATACATCTGTCGGCAAAACCGACTTATACTATTTAACTTGTTTTCGAGAAATTTGGTACTTTTTCAGATATCGCTGAAAAAATTCTAATAACCTCACTTTCCCATAGCCAGTTGGTATACGAAAAATTCTAAGGGGATTTAAAAGTACTAAGTTTGTAGATCAAACACCCTATAGAGTTTTAAGGTCTTAAGCCAATCTATTTTAAGGGCTTTATATACCATTTATCATGTACAAAGGGACCCAAATATATTTTGAAATATATTTCGAAACATTTAATATAGACCTTTCAAAATTTAAACAGAGCTTTGGATTGCTTAATGTGTCATCGCTTTTAAAAATGAGTCATGTCGGTCCATCTTTTGATATGGCCTCTACATAAATTTGGCCTTCATCTTAAAATTTTAACTCTACTTTCGTAATCTACTGGGGGTTTCCAGTTATTTTTGAAAAAAATTAATTTCAGACCTCCCAACCTCTCCTGAGTTACAATTTAAGCTGTATCATAGTTTAGCATCAGTGAAATGAGTTGGTATCCCTTATTTCCGACTCGGTTGTAATGTTTATGGTTCTTGGAGCTATTCATTCCTTCTCATCGTTTAAGCAAAACTTTATTCCGAATAAATATTTTTAATCAACGACCATTAAAAGTATTGCCGTAGCTAATTTTCTCTTTTAAAACTATAAAGAAATGTTAAGAGACATCACTGTTATATTTAAAATTTTATTAAAACTTTATATAACCCACTTTCTACAATATTTCACCATTTCCGCTTTTGACTTTATACAAGCGTTCAAATGTTTAAAAATAAGTTCTAGTCTTCTTTTGGAACTCTTTAATTCCGTTAATAATGTATATTTGTAATTACATGTAGTTAGTGCTGTGTAAAGTAAATATTGTTTTTGTTATATAATTTAACTCTCTTTCATAATTTAAATTAATTAAAATCAACTATTTCCAGGTGATAAGGATCGCTACTCATTCCCAGCGGAAATGCCAATTATACATGCCGAATTTACATACTTCTATTATCCTGGTGATTTTATTTTCCCACGTAAGTAGAAATTGTCTAGCACGATTATTAAATCTCATTTAATTCCCCTTTTCTTTCCAGTACCTCCCTCCAAGGTCTTTGTCCACATCAATCCACTGCAAATTCACTTCGATTTGTGTTCCATTTTATGGCTGAATTCCTTTGCTTTGAATCTACATGAGAGTCTATTGCGCACCAGTATTACTGCAGCATCACCAACAACAAATTCACCGGCAACTATGGGATCACCGTCCACCATCGGATCGCATGGTTCACAGGCCACCACATTAAAGGGCTCCTCCAAATTTTCGCTGTATAATGAAGAGCAACAACTGCAGCAGCAGCAGCAGCTGGCCACAGCAGCTGAACCGAATGAACCCAGTCTTATGTATATGGATGTTAAAGTGGAGGCCATAATGCCTCGCATTGTAATTGAATCCTCTTTGGAAACGTCCAATCAAAAGGATCGTCCGAAAATGATGCAAATACAAATATCGCGATTTGCTTTAACCAATATACGTGAAATGGGTTCATCACGTGCTGATCTAGCTCAAGCCCTACATTCGCTGCAGGAGGGCTCCCTGGTCTTTGGTACGGGATTTCCCTCGGCACGCGGTGATATGTGCATTGTTACGGATCGTATACTGTCACATGTTGCCGCCACCGATGTGGGTGCTTCTGCAGACGCGGGCAATGGGGCCCAGCAACGACGTTCTTCATCTATACCCAAGTCATCATCGATGCAAAATCTGTCACGCTATGCAATGTGGTCTGAACCAAGAGATGTTTGGTGTATAAAATTTGATCCGGTTTGGGTGGATTTTTTGGGAGCCCGTTCTTTGGGGGCCTCAAAATCGATACCCTTCATAGATGCGGTGCCCATAACATTGTGGCTGCACTCGGGCTCGGGAGCAATGGCCACGAATGAGCCACAAAGTAATGTGGGCAGTCGCAAGGGCAGCAGTAGTGGTGGTGGTTTTGATGAATCTGCAGCTTCAACAGCAAAGGGACAGGCGTCATCAACATCCATGGATACAAATATAAATCGTTTGGATTATGCCAATAGCAATAAATTGCCACGTAATCCATTTTTGGACAGTGAGGAGGACATACACGTTGATCGTAGATCCCAAACGTCCTCCAATAATAGTGCGGCCGAACGTACTGCCGATCTACATGCCATTGGTCACATTTCCAATTTGGTTAGTGTTCAAATCGATCACTATCAGCTGCTATTTCTATTGCGTTTGGGTGAGGAATTTAGTGAAATGTCCACCTATTTGTCACTGGATGCTGAAAGGATTTTACAAAAGGTACCCCTTCTAAACACCCTTCATATTCTCTACAAATAACGAATAAATTCTCTTAATTGTTTCGCAGCAAAACACCAGCAAATCACTGATACTGGGCTGTGTTATACCACAAATCGAGGTGACATTTGTTATGCCGTCTCCAACACCCGGTAAGGAATCAAGTGGTGGTGATGCTGAAAGTGTCTTACCTGATTCAGCTAGTTTGGGTGATGATTTACATATAAATAGTAAGAGTATTTTTGATTTTGTTTTTTATTTAAGCTCCCTCCAACTACCTATCATCGACTTTTATCTACTTCTTCTTTTCGGATTCTTAACATACTTTCTCGCAATGTTTCTTTTGCTTAACTTTTTAACCAAAAAAATGACTTTCTTTGCTGCCATTGCATATTCTCTCTTTTCTTTTTCTTAAATTCACTTTCTCATTGAAGATCTTGATGTCATTTTCGATTCCTCTTTTTTTTCAAATTCGTGTGCACCTTTTATTAATGAAATTTTTATATTTTTTATCATGTGGCATGTTGGATATTTTTACATTATTTTTTGTTTTTAACACCCTTATAATTTTTAAAAAATTTTAATAGAAGTAAGAAATGGTTTGTTAAAGGGATGTCAATTAGTGCCAAATTTTCCGAATTGTTTTATATCAAGAAAAAAGGTTTCCTAGTACAAAGCCTTGTAATTGGTTTCTTGAGACCGAAGCGGAATATTGAAGGCATATGGCCTTTTATATCCAGGGCACTCTTATGATTTTATTGAATCAAAGCAAAAAATGTCGAAAAAAAGATACATTTTAGAATAAGTTTAAATTTGTTCGAATTGGTCACCATTGGCACGAATTATGGACTTCAAACGGCCAATGAAATCGTCACACGCTGCCCGAATGTTGCTCTGCGGTATTTTGGCCCATTCCTGGCGAAGCGTTTGCTTGAGCTGATCGACACTTTGGTATTTTTAGTGCCAACCTTGCTTTCCAAAATTCTTCAGACACAGTGGTCCAACGGATTGGTATCCGTAGATTTTGGTGGCCACTGTGAGCTGGAAATGAAGTGAGAAACCTCTTTTTGTAACCATTCTTGGGTGGCGCGTTCTGAGTGCGATGGTGCTGAGTCTTGTTGGAATATCCGAGGTCTGCGGCCAAAATGTTTGCGTGCCAAACGCTTTAATACACCCTCCAGAATATTTTCGGGATAATATTCGGCATTTATTCTGATGCCACGGTCGATTAATACGGGCGTAGAGCAACCATGAGCTGTTATGGCGGCCCACACCATGGCGCTTGAGTTCTGGTGGCTCAGGTGCATTTTTAGCCTCTTTGGCAAGTAAACACGATCATTTTGTTTGTTTACAAACTGCTGAACAAGGAAGATTTTCTCATCGAAGATAACCAAATTCGGCAGTTTACCACTTTCGGCCAAATGAAGCAACTCTTTAGCTCTTTTGAGTCTATTTTTCTTTCTGTTGCGGTGTAAGTTCTTGCACTTTTTGGAATTTCAATGGCTTTACCCCAAGCTCATTTTTCAATATTTGCTGAATGGAATATGGCGATATGTTCAGCTCACGAGTCATTCTTCGGCCACTGCGACGCGGATTTCGATCAAGTAGCTTCTTTACTTTTCGAACCATTTTTGCTGATGTTGCTGCTTTCTACCGTCCACTTCCTTGACGTCGGGCTACGCTACCAGTATCACGGTAACGAGCGAATGTACGAGACACAAAAGATTTATTCGCATTTAAATGCTGGAATGCTCTAACGATAGCCACTTGTGGTTTTCCAGCCAAATATAAAGAAATCGCACTATCGCGCTTGAATTCCATCACGAATAACTTATTTTTCTGAAAAATTCCCACCAAAATATTTTTGTATGCTTTTAAACAATATAATGAGCTGTCACAGAATTAATTATAACAGCTGTCGGACGAGTGGCTTAGGAATGACAGCAGTCTGAAGTTGGTTGCAGTTTTTCATCTCACGATGTAGCTCTTATATATGTGTTTCATTCGATTTGGGATTTTAAGTTAGACGCATGCGTAATAAGCACTCCAGAAGAATGATATTTGGTACCGGACATCAAATACTGATCCAAAATACCTCTGTCAAATTTTATCGAGATCGGATATCAGATTAGGATATAGCTCACATATATATCCTTAATCCGATATCAGTTTTTTTGTGCACCAAATGGCTACCATATTTATAACGGTCTTGTGTTGATTGAAATTTTATGAGCTAATTATGAGCTTCATGAATATTCAAAATTTTGACCCATTGTGGGAGAGGTACCAGAAGGAGTGGACCGATATATTCCATCTTCACACCAGACCTTGTTTTATTAAAAATATTGTGATGTGTGTAATTTGAAGAGAATCGGATGTTTATTTCGGATTTTATGATCGTTATTGTTATTCAAAACTTTGACCCTTTGTGGGGGAGGTGCCAGAAAGAATGGTTCGATCTCTACCATCTTTATAACAAATCTTGTGTTGATGGAAATATTGGGATGTACCAAGTCTGAATAGAATCGGATGTTAATTTTGCGTTTTATGAGCTATATGAATATTCAAACTTTTGACCCTTTGTGGGGGAGGTATCAGGAGGAGTGGACCTATCTCTACCATCTTTATAAGAGATCTTTTGCTGATGGAATTATTGAGATGTGTCAAGTCTGAATGGATTCGGATGTTAATTTCACGTTCTATGAGCTTCATGGATATTAAAAATGTTGACCCATTGGGGGATAGGTACCAGAAGGAGTGGACCGATATATTCCATCTTCACACCAGACCTTGTGATGAAGATATTGTGATGCGTGTAATTTAAAGACAATAAGACACTTATATCTTATAAGAGTTATAATTATTCAAAATTTTGACCCTTTGTCGGGGAGTTACTTGATGGAGTGTAGCGATATTGCCCTTTTTCGCACCTGACCTACCACTGATGAAAATATAAGGATTTGCAAAGTTGGAAAAAAATCAGATTATCCTTTCTCTTTCTGTGCAGTAAATTATTTTCTTTGAAAAATTTGGGGGAGGTGCCAGAAGGAGTGGATCGAGATTGCCCATTTCCGAATTTGATCTAAGTGTGATAATAATATTACGATGTACCGATTTTGGATCAACACCATCCAGGCAAACAAACGGACGGAAAGACATCGCTAGATCGACTGCAAATGTCTCGAAACGGATTTGGTCCGTTTTGACCGTATCAAATGATATATACCCTCTCTAGCCATATACCCTCTAGTTGAGGGTTACAAACTATCCAAAAAGCCCGCTTTGATGACTCGCTTTTTGAGAGTCTTATCAATAATTTAATCAATAATACACCATATACCTAAAATGAGAGGATTCCAAGAAAATTTAATCTGAAAATTTCCAAAAAATGTGGAAGAGGGGGGAATGTACCCTCTCCAATATGTTTACTTTTCGATGTGAACTTTCGAAACGCCTGTCTTTTATTTTTGTGTTTACTCTCATAATCTTCTGGAGATTTTCTGTCTTCATTAAAATCTACTAAAAAAAACTGTAAGTTCGGCTGGTCCGAACTTTAAATACCCTCCACCATTCAGAACAAGTTTGGCAATTTTCAAAAAAAAAAAAAAATAAATAAATAAATCCACTAAAAATTCTATTAAATCTTAAAAATACCGAATGTAGCCGTTATATTAGGGCCTATACGACGACGTGGACCTGTATAGGCAACTTTTGTCATAAGCCATTACAACATTCAAATGCGAAACTTGAAAAAAATCCAATGAATAATGTAATTGAAATCATCCAAATACCGAATATCGGGAGGTGCCGTTATATGGGGGCTATACGAAGACGTGGATCTGCACAGTAGTATTCATTATGAACTTCAAATACCAAATTTGAAACAATTCCGGTAAATAATGTCACTGAAATCATCAAAATACCGAATATCGGGAGGTACTGTATTGTGGGGGCTGTGGACCTACACAGAAAATTTTCTGTTTTAGGCTGTAGTATCCATTACGAACTTTAAATACGAAATTTAAAAAAAAAATCCGGTAAATAATATCGCTAAAATCATCGAAATACCGAATATCGGGAGGTACCATTATATGGGGGCTATACCAAAACGTGGACCTACATTGACATATTTTAATACCAAAAGTCCTGCAGGCATAATATACATTTAAGTCAAAAATTTTTCATCCTACTTCATTTCGTTCGGAAGCTAGAGTGATTTTCACGGACGGATAGACGGTCGGACATTGCTAAATCGACATAGAATTTTATGCTGATCAAGGATATATATACTTTGTGGGGTCTAAAATGTATATTTCGAGGTTTTACAAACGGAGTGAAAAACTCCGTACTATGGTAGAGGGTATAAAAATTGTCGCACAGTGTTATATTAGAGTTTTTTTTGCAGCGTATTAGGGCACTTTAAATAAAAGAGAAACTTATTACCTTTTCTGTTTCGCTATCATACATCCTTTTAAATTTAATATATTTTTTTCCATTAACTTTTCTTTCAAGACAATAAATATATATTTTCTTCATGGCACTGGGTAGAATTAGAACTAACATATTGTTTTAGTGGTAAACCGTATTAGAGAAAAAATTTTTCAGATCATCGAGCTATGCTTAAAAAAATAACATGCATATAACAAAACATTCAACGCGATGCTACAGAGTTTGTTATGGAAAAAGTTTAGATTAATATAAAAGTGAGGTTGTGTTTGGTCATAACCTCACTTTTTGTCAAAGATTATTAGAAAATTTGGGAATTTATGTTAAATTTAATGGAAAAATGATTTACCTGTAGCATCGTGTAGAAATGTGCTCTTTTTTGTCGGCTCACTAAACAACAAATAACTAAAACCACAAACAATTTTTAACAACAAAATTAACAATTTATTTTTTTATTATTTTTTAATAACAGGTACGAACATAACCTGGCCTACACCACCCTTAGAACAGATTAAAAGCAATACATTTGGTAGCGTAGAAACACCATCACCCATAACAAATGAAGCACCCTTTGATAGTGGCATTCACTTGTCAAATCCAAATACACATGGGTAAGATTGTGAGGTTATGTTTTCGAGGAGGAGTCAAGATTTTAATGTTATTCCCATTTTTTGGGGTTCCAGTTATAATGTCCAGATACAAAACATACCAACAATGGCCTCTTCAACAACCACCAGTCAGTCATCTTCCATTAAACCGGATACGGGTATCTATACCCAATCGGCCACATCCTCGTCCACGAAGAGTTTTCGCTCCAACAAAAATTCGACCAGTGATGCACCAAGCATAACAAAGGAAATCAATTCAGGTAACAAAAAAATTAAAAAATAATTTTCAATAATTTAATATCAAAATTTTCTTTTTTTGTTTAGGTCTCATGTCCATGAAAAAAGGTCTATCCAGTTTTATGACTTCCATTGATTCGGCCATTACCTCACGCACCCAAAACGATGATATGAGCGATACATTTTCCATACAGAGTGACATTAGTTCGGATTCGGAAAATTTCGCCATTGTTATGGGTGATGATAAGACCATGGATTGTATTGATGTTATGTTCCGTTTGAATCCCTTTACCACCGAGGTTAATATGAAAGCATCACCGGTCGAGGTGGCCAGTGAAGTGTATGAGGAGCCAATTAAAACCAATCTTAGTTCACCATCAGAGCCCTCAGAGGCGAGTACATGGCGAAGACGGGATTTGGTTTCAATGGCTACTTTTAGGTAGAGCCAGGCTTTCTTTAATTATTTTATGAAAAAATATATATTAACAATTTATTCCTAGACTTACCACTGTCGAGCTGATCCAACAGAAAGAGGGCAACAATTCCACCCTACGTGTTCAAGTGGCGGCAATTTCCTGTGATGAATGCGGTGCCATACCCTGGGATGAATTACAGGTTAGTGTTTTTGAAGCCAATTTTTATGATTTCCTTTTCAATTTTTCTCTCTTTTTTCTAAGTCGTGTTTTGTTTTGTTACTTGAATTTTTGTTCTGTTTTGTGTTCTGTTTTTTTTTATATCTTTGTTTTCACCACTTGATTTGTTTTGAGAATTTCCCCCCTTTATGAAAATGCTTTAATTAAATAATTAAAAGAATTTGTTTTGTAAATAACTTTTTAAATTCAAAGTTTTATTAAAAAAAATCCTTGTAAAACTATAAATGTTTTGCTTATAAACGAAACCCAATTTTGCATGTTTCAAATTCACTTTTTTCCGAAACAGAAAAATATTTTTCAATCTCTCTCTTTCTGTAACATTATATTTGATTTTAATTTTGGACAAAGAAGAAAATGTGGCATTGAATTTCAATTTTTAGTATAAAAATCTTTTATCATTTTGTTGGTAGCCCTTTCAATATTTTTAAATGTCTACGCTTTAGATCTAATGGTCTTTCTAACAAAAAAAAAAAAAAAAAGAAAATAAGTAAATAATAATAATAATTAAGTAAATAAATATAGACAAATAAAAAAAGCATGACCTGGTTAATAGTTCAGTTTGTTTAAAAAACAACGTCCTTATAAATCAAAAGAGCATCGAAGTTTTCTTAAACAATCCAAGACTACATCTTTGATAGCTCTTCTAGAAATATTCTTTAGAAAATGCTCAGATGTAGCCATTATAATACTGTACGTCAATATTAAATTTTTCAATAATTAACTGGGAAAATTCAGCAGATTATGACAGAAAAGCTTAAAATAGAAAACACGTCTATCGGCGTTTTGAAATTTTACATCACCATAAGCCAAAGTAGAGGGGGGCAAGAACGTCCATCATCAAATTTTTTTGAAATTTTCAAATTAAGATTCCTTGGAATCCTTGCCTGTTAGGGGTAATGTGTCTTCGGCAATATTACTGGTAACAATACGAAGATTATTTTGGCTGAAAGTTTAACACTCAAGTGAGTCACCAAAGGGCTCTTTTTGTATCCTTTTTCAAAATATGGTTGAAAAATATCTTTAAAGGGGATCAAAATATTTAACAACATTGTTTGTTATAGAATTCTACTTTAGGTCCCTGAAGACACCAAAAGTTTAAATCTTACCTTAACGCCAGGAATTCATGAATATTTAAGGGTTTGTGCCGTACTTCATGTGAGTTTATGCAAAAATCTCTTTCACAGCATCATTTTAGAAGAATGAAGTCAACTACAAAAATATTCGTCATCAAAGTCACCAAAGAAAGAAAATCGCTATTTTACATTTTTTTTTTTAATTTTTGCAACCAAATTTCGAATTTACGCCTGAAAGTGACATAAAATTTCGTTATAGGCAGAAGGTGTTAAAAGAAAAAATGTTCTACACAAAATTTCGGTCCACTGCTTCTGCTACCTCCCCCACAAAGGATCAAAATTTTGAATATAAAAACCGATTCCATTTAGACTTGGTACATTTCAATATTTCCATGAACACAAAATGGTAGAGATCGGACCATTTCTTGTGGTTCCTCTCGAACATAGGGTTAAATATTTTGAAAAATACAACGCTCAAAGAAAGCGAAATAAGCATCCAACTCTCTTGAAATTTCACACATACAAACATTTTTACTAACACAAGATCTGTTGTGAAGATGATATATATCTGCGAACCCTTTCCGGTACCTCTCCCACAAAGTGTCACAATTTCCAATGTTTATTTCTGTCATAACATGTGAAAGAAGTAGGCGATTCTATACAGCTTGCTATATCTAAATATTTCTCTTAACCAGAAATCTGATGTGAAAATGTAATTTATCGGAATTTTTGATTTTCCATAAATTTGATATAAATGTTCGAAGTTCTTCAAATTTTGCACATACCAATATTTTTATCTATATAGATGAAGTACGAAAACGGAATCCTTTGGTCCGCTTTATCTGTTGCCTCACTCATATTTCCAAAGATTTGCACATATCTCATATAAAGTATAGGTAGTAGTATATATAGTCCAAATCTGTCACGTTGTAATATTCAGTCTTAGGTCAGATGCGAATTGGTCAATATGGGCCAACTGCTTCGGAAAATAAAGAGTCAAAAGTTTGAAAAAAAAAAACCGACCAATACTATTTTGCTTGTTTGCTGTTAATTTAACACGTTTCCGAGCCAAGTCAAAATCTCCCTTTATACTTCAATTTTTTGGGGAAGTGTCAAAGGAAGAATTTTTCTAGATCAAATTTCATTTTGAGTCTCTGAACAGAAGGAATTTGTATATTCAATATGTACCATGGAAAAATATCTTCTATTTTGGATTTTAAAAAATCGGCTTTCTACAAATTTAACTCTTTTTTCGAATTCGAAGCAAATTATTTTTTATAAGTAGAATGTCCGATAGCCAGTCTAGGTTATGGAAAATTCTAAGTGGACATGATAGTACTCAGTTTGCAGATCAAAACCTCAAAATAGTTTCGGTTTCTGAGGTTAAACTTTGTAAGCCTTTTATATAATGTAGACCCTATACAATATATTAAGATATATTTCACAATATTTTATACAGATATTAGGAAATTTTTAGAGAGCTTTGTATTACTTCATGGATCATTGGTTTAAAAAATGGGTCATGTAGAACCACTTTTGGCTAAATTTAAGCTTGAAAACTATCGAAAACTTTCCACCTAATTTTTTTGCCTACTACAATATTTCTTCTTTGTCCATATATTTAAATCTTTTGAAAACTTCTTTGTGTTGTATTTTACATATGTAAAACATTGTTTTAAATTTCCAATTGATTTTAATTAATATAAAATACTTTATATATCTTGTGTTTATATACTAGGTATATCAAGTCTGGGTAACTTTTTTCATTTATTAATTAAATGGAATTAAAATCAAGTTTTCCTAATATTATGTTGACTCGGAAATAAGAAAGTGGATTTTTTTTATTTTACACAATATAGCGAATATCTCCATAAAGAGAAATCTCTATGATGCAGAGATCATCCCCTTCGTTATTATCAGCAGAAAAACCCTCCATATACCCAGATTTGTTATACCCAGTGTATTTTTTTACTTTTGCTTTTCTTATTAAATTTATTTTTAAACAACAAAAAACATGTTTTTCTCTTTCTCTCTTTTTTCATATACTATATATAAACATATTATTTAAAATTTAATACATGTAACAAAAATATTCAAATACCAAAACAAATTGTATAAAATTCAAATTTTCTATCTTTTTTTCTTTAAAAAAAAAACCAAACAAATTCTCTCTCAATGTGTGCCTCTCTCTCTATATATTTATACAAATGTATTTATATTAAATATAAAATTGTGTTTTTTTTTCTTTTTTATATATAAAATAAAACATTTATGTTTTTTGCATTTCGTTTACGTTTTGCCATCACTAAAAAAAAAACAAAAACCAAAACCGAAAAAAAACAATTGTAAAATATTTTTGTGTAACAACTTCGATTTGTTTTTGTAAACACTACACCAACTACAACTACATTATCAACAACAACAAAAACCAAAAAAAAAAACTACAACTACAAACTTAATGTTAAAAACCCAAACAAATGCGCATCTCTCAACCAAACTAAAAACCAAAAAATTACATTTTACAAAGAATGCCCAACAAGCCAAAAAGGTATTAATTAACTCATTTCTATTGTTTACTGCAATTATTCAAACTCTTATAAAACTACTAACCTATTTATGCCATTGTTCAATTATTATTATTTTCTATTATTACTTTACTTTCCCTTTCTCCAATGCCTATTTACTTTCCCTTTCTCCATACTTTCCCTTTCTCCAATACTTTCCCTTTCTCCAATGCCTATTTCGCAATGTTGAACATAATACTGTGTTCGTTAATTTTCGTTCATCATTACGAGGTAGCCTAAATTAGTTCGTATTTTCTCTCTTATTTTGCTCTGCTTCTCTATTCCTTTGGTATTTCTCTGCATTTTTTTTGTAATATTTTATTTGTTTTCTTTGTAGTTGGTTTTCAATGGGATTTTTTTTTACTATTGTTTTATTTTTTTTTCTGCATTTGAGGTTATGTGTATCTTTTTTATTTTCGAGAATTTAAAAATTTGGTATTGTGATCTGTATAAATCGTTTTTAAAATAGACGACAATATTAATTTTAAATTATTGTGATCATCTATTAAACATTAATTGAACTGTGTAGAGGTTAAATGGTTTCCTTGGGAACTGGGATTGGGACATATTTTGTTCGAATAGAAATTATTTTGTTATGATGTAAGATTCAAGACATAAGACCCATTATAAAATTACGATTTGAAATCTTCTCTTCTCCCAGAAAACATTGGTAGGTGTAGGGTCACTTTAAGTATTATTTGTAATGACAATGACATACCATCTGCATTACCAGTATCCACAAAACAGTAGAGAAAAGTGTATAAAAAAGTGTCGTATATATATATGACCTACACCACTAGTAGAGCTCCCGTATCAAAAGAATTTATTTTAAGTGGATCATACCACCTATCCACATTTGGCTTTTGAGCAGTTATAGTTTGGTTTCAAAGAGATCTTATACATGGGAAGCATATCAGATTCTTCATAATTCGCCATAATTTTTACATTTTTTTAATGAAAGCAAAAAATGTCGAAGATAGCATCAAATTTTAGAATAAGTTTAGATTTGTTCGAATTGGTCACCTTTGGCACGAATTTGGCCTTCACACGGCCAATGAAACCGTCACACGCTGTCGAAATGTTGCTCTGTGATATTTTGGCCCATTCCCGGCGAAGCGCTTGCTTAAAGTGACCGAGAGTTTGGTATTTTTAGTCAACCAACCTTGCTTTCTAAAATACTCCGGACACAATAGTCCAACGGATTGGTATCCGCAGATTTTGGTGGCCATTGTGCGCTGGAAATGAAGAATTTTGTAACAATTCTTGGGTGGCGGTGGCGTGCTGAGTGCAATGGTGCTGAATCCTGATGGAAAAAAAGGTCTGCGGCCAAAATGTTTACGTGCGCAAGGCCTTAATACACCCTCCAGAATATTTTCGCGATAATATTCGGCATTCATTCTGATGCCACGGTAGATTAATACGAGCGGAGAGCGACTCTCGGCTGTTATTGCGGCACACACATGGTGCCATGGCCGGCGCTTGATTTCTGATGGCCAACTTAAGGAGCACATTTTCAGCTGACCTCTTTGGCAAGTTTGTTTACAAATTGCTGGACAAAGAATGTTTTCTCATCGGCAGTTCACCACTTTCGGCCAAGCGAAGCAACACTTTAGCTCTTTTGAGTCTGGGTCTATTTTCTTTCCGTTGCGGTGTAAGTTCTTGCACTTTTTGGAATTTCAATGGCTTTACCACGAGCTAATTTTTCAATATTTGTCGAATGGAATATTGCGATATGTTCAGCTCACGAACCATTTTTCGGCCGAGCCATTTTAGGTTGCAGTGTTTTAATCTCACCCAATATCCAAATCTTAGCCTATATCGATAAAATTTGGTATTTTCCGAACTCTGGTGACAAATATTATTTTTGTCGAATGCATATAACGAATGTGAGGAACTTAAACACCAAGTCGGATGAAACATATATATGGGAGCTATAGCTTTATCTGAACCGATTTATACTAAATTTGATTTACTTACTTCTTGACTGAATTCTGTCGGATGTACCGTCATTCAGGACTTTTTGACAAATATTGGCCATTTGGTCCACAATTAACCTGAAATCAGTTGAAGATAGATATGGGAGCTATATTCAAATCTGAACCGATCTTGATAAAATTTGAAAAATCTATTTCTGAGCTGTATCTGATATCTGGTACCAAAAATCATTGTTGTGGAATGCATATTACGATTGTGAGGGACTTAAACACCAAATCGGATGAAACATATATATAGGAGCTATAGCTATATCTGAGCTTATTTTCTCCAAATCTGATGTACTTGCTTCTAGACTGAATTCGGTCGGATATGGCGAAATTCAGATCATATGGACTGATATTGGTTATTTGGTGCACAATTAACCTGAAATCGGTAAAATATCTATGTGGGAGCTATATCCAAATCTTAACCGATTTTGACAAAATTTGAAAAACTTATTTCTGAGCTGTATCTGCTATCTGGTACCAAAGATCATTCCTGTGTGCATATTACGCATATCGGGGAATTAAACACAAAATCGGATGATACATATATATATGGGAGCTATATCTATATCTGAATCGATTTTCACCACATTTGACGTACTTGCTTCTGACTTCGGTAGGATGTACCAAAATTCAGGTAATTTGGACTTAAATTGTCTTTTGGTGTACAATTAATCCGAAATCGGTTGAAGACATATTTGGGAGCTATATTCAAATCTGATCCGATATTGATAATATTTGGCAAATGTATTTTCGAATGAACATATATATGGGAGCTATAGCTATCTCTGAACCGATTTTCTCCAAATATGATGCATGCAAAGATGGCTTTATAAATTTTCACTTGGTGGAGAGTATATAAAGTTCGGACAGGACCGTTTTTATAGCCTCCATCATGCAGGGTACATAAACTTTGTCATTCCGTTTGTAACTCTTCGAAATACTTATGTCAGTCCCAACAAATTATATATATTCTTGATCAGCTTAAAATTCTAAGTCGATTTAGCGATGTCCGACCGTTTGTTTGTTGTAGTTACGCTTCTTCTTTCGAACGAATTGAGATGTGCATTTTGCCAGTAGTCAGTTTAAGTTCGTAAATGGGCCATGTCGGTGCACGTTTTCGCCTCTATATAATGGCACCCCCTAATATTCGGCATTTTGACGATTTTATCGACATTATTTTGCGGAATTGTTTCGTATTTGGAGATCTTAATGGGTACTACAGCTTATGACAAAAAATTACTTACTATATAAGGGTACCTCCCATTATTCGGTATTTTGCTGATGTTAGTTATAGACCGGAATGGCTTCAGATTTCGTATTGGAAGATCTTAATGGATACTTCAACATATGACTGAAAATTGTCTATGCATCGTCGTTTACCCCACATATAACGGAATCTCCCTTTTTCGGTATTTTGATGATATTAGCGGCATTATTCAACTGCATTGCTTTAAATATCCTTTTTGCACGTCCTAATGAGGAATACAGCCTATGACAATCATTTTCATATGCCGGTCCACGTAAAGCCACCATATAACGATATTCGATATTTTGACGCTTTTAGCGGCGTTATTCACCGGAATTGTTTCCAAAATTCAAACTTGAAGTTCGTAATGGATACTTTTACCTCCTTTCAGATTTTGTATAAGATGTATGGTGCAATTTGAAGGCGGTGATCTTGGCTGTACTTCTTCTATGATTTCTTTTACATATTTTTGCTTTTATTTAACAATTTTAGCATATTTTTTACAATTTATTTTATATTGGTGTTATTGTTACAACTAGTTAAAATTAATTATGAAAAAAAAAATTGAGAGACAATTTCATATTTTCATAAACAATTGAATTTAATTGGAGAACAATAAAATACACAAACCATTTTCTTTTCTAACTCTCTCTACGAAACCCTCTCTAGATTGGCATTATCTTCAACACACTTAACTAACCACTACACAAACACCAAATAGAGATACCTAACTAACACTTAGATACACTAGAAATTTGTATTAGTAATTTTATTTTCAAAATTTAAAAAAAAGAAAATTAGATAGTTAATCACTTGCACAGTTTGCTTCTTTTCATTTGTTGGTTTGTTTTAATTAATAAGTTTTTTTTAATTTTGTAATTAGAATTTTCTGTATGTCCACTTTTTTCTCTCTCTGTGTGTGTATTAGAAATGTTAATAGAAATTAATGGTGTACATATTTACTTTTTTATATATTTGTTTAGGAAATCCAGGGAAGTAAATTCACTGAAAATAAGTAACATGGGTTAGGAGCTCTGGCCATAGGGTCCAATATAAAAATTGGAATCTTAAAGCCAATAGACATGTTTAGTAGTGAAAACAAAAATTTGAAATATGTTAGGTACGCCATTATTTAAGTATGTTTCATAATTTTCTCACAGAAGAACAGAAAAAATTCTAAAAATTTCGAAGGACTTGTGAATTTTTTATATCCAACCATTTTTTTGTAACATGGAGAAGGAAGCGAGATAGACCCATAGCTACTTTTGAGGATCTTCATAGAATTATTTTCTGAGTCGATTTATGCATGCTAGTCCTTGTACAAAGACATAGAAGTGTAAAGATAGGATAATACAGAGTCAAAATATGGTAACCCTGTGAAAATACCTCCGTTGTTACGATATCATAACAACATCGTCACCAATGTTAACTGATTTAAACCGCTAAACAATGTGCAAATTTTCGGAAAGGTCCATGGAATAGAATTTTGAAATCAAAATTTGGATTTTTCAAATTTTTATTTGTTTTCCGTTTTTGTAATTGTGGTTTATATATTAACATGTCTCTGCCATGAGCTGTTACTCTAGTCTTTACCATTTTAGGTCTTTGCCTTGTATTCTTGTAAATAAAATGCAGGTCGCATTTAATATCTGATTGAGATGAAAGTTTGCAAACAATTTTTGTTTGGCCCAAGGACGAACCCTATTGAAATTGGTGAGATTCGGTTCAGATTTAGATATAGCTCCCATATATCTTCAACCGATTTCGGGGTAATTGTGCACCAACTAGCCAATATAAGTCTAAATAACCTGAATTTCCGCACATTCAACCGAATTCAGTCTAGAAGCAAGTAGATTAAATTTGGTGAAAATCGGTTCAGATATAGTTATAACTTCCATGTATAGGCTTTATCCGATTTTGTGTGCACATTCGTCATATGCACCCCACAAGAATGATGTTTGGTATCAGTTTTCATATACAGCCCATAAATACCTCTGCCAAATTTTATCAAAATCGGTACAGATTTTGATATAGCGCCCATATGTATCTTCAACCGATTTTGCACCAAATGGCCAATATCACTCCAAAAGTCCTGAAAGCAAGTACATCAAATTTGGTGAAAATCGGTTCAGATATAGCTCCCATATATATGTTTCATACGATTTGGTGCTTAAGTCCCCTACATTCGTAATATGCACTCCACAAGAATGATATTTGGTGCCAGATAACTTATGGAACTCAAAAATACCGCTGTCAAATTTTATCGAGATCCGATCAGATTTGGATTTAGCTCCCATATACAGGGTGAGATAAAAAACTGCAACAAAGTCAAACGCCATAATTTTTAATTTTTTTTTTTTAATTTTATTGAAATCAAAAAATTTCGGAAATAGCATCAAATTTTAGAATAAGAATAGATTTGTTCGACTTGGTCACATTTGGCAAGAATTATGGCCTTCAAACGACCAATGAAACCGCCACACTCTGCCCAAATGTTGCTCTGATGTATTTTGGCCCATTCCGGCGAAGCGCTTGCTTGAGGTGATCGACACTTTGGTATTTTTTAGTGTCAACCTTCCTTTCCAAAATGCTCCAGACACAAAAGTCCAACGGATTGGTATCCGGAGATTTTGGTGGCCATTGTGCGCTGGAAGCGAGGAACCTCATTTTGTAACCATTCCAGAATATTTTCGCTATAATATTCGTCATTCATTCTGATGCCACGGTCGATTAATACGAGCGGAGAGCGACCATCGGCTGTTATGGCGGCCCAAACCATGACCATGGCCGGCGCTTGAGTTCAAAGTACACATTTTCAGCTGACCTTTGTACACATTTTGTTTGTTAACAAACTGCTGGACAACGTATATTTTCTCATCGGAGAAAACCAAATTCGGCAGTTCACCATTTTCGGCCAAGCGAAGCAACTCTTTAGCTCTTTTGAGTCCATTTTCTTTGTGTTGCGGTGTAAATTCTTGCCCTTTTTGGAATTTCAATGGCTTTACCCCGAGCTCATTCTTCAATATTTGCCGAAAAGAATATTGCGTTTTGTTCAGCTCATGAGCCATTTTTTGGCCACTGCGACGCGGGTTTCGATCAAGTCGCTTCTCTACTTTTCGAACCATTTCTGCTGTTTTCTTCCGTCCACTTCCTTGACGTCGGGCTACGCTACCAGTGTCGAGACATAAAAGATTTATTCACACTTAAATGCTGGAGTGCTCTAACGATAGCAACTTGTGGTTTTCCAGCCAAATATAAAGAAATCACACTATCACGCTTGAATTCCATCACGAATAACTTTTTTTCTGGAAAATTCTCACCAATACGCTTTTGTACGCTTGGAAACAATATGATAAGCTGTCACTGAAATAATTTTAACAGCTGTCGGACGAGTGGCTTAGAAATGACAGCAGTCTGAAGTTGGTTGCCGTTTTTTCATCTCACCCTGTATATGTATTCTTTATGGGGTCTTCGACGAATATTTCGGAATATATACTCCATTAATTGGTGGAGAGTATAAAATTCCTTAAATTTTTTGTACAGAAAAAAAAAATCCAAATAATGTTTAACATTTGGAAATAATTTCAAGCTTTGGCATTATTCTATTTATCTGATTAGAATGTGGGCCTCTTTTGGGATATGTAATATTGTATTATTTATTGTTGTGAAACATATGTAATATATTTGTTGTATTTTCTTTAAAATTATTTGGTGTCTATATAAATATTACAACTTTTAATTTATTCCTAATTTTGCTTTGTGCTTTTGGCTTTAGGTGTGCAATGTAGTTGAAAATAACCTCAATTTCAAAAGAAATTCCTCATCTGTGAATGAATGGATTTTTATGTGTATTTTCTTTTCTTTTTTTTCCAATTTCAATTTTCCCCTTCCAACATCCGTTTCCACCCCTCCCCCCAACAACAACAAAAATGTACAAAACAAATCCCTGAACTATAGAATAAGTTTGGAGCCCGTTGTAAAGCATGGAATTTGGCTCCTTATAATCCAGAGGCACCGCCCTGCATACGGCTACGTTTGGAGGAGACAATGAAACCGTTGAGTGATGTTGCCGTCAATGTCCATGACAAGAAGAGTTTTCAGAGGTGAGTAAATATTAAAATATCTTTATTTTCGATTATGAGATAAGGTCATTTTAAGTCCAGTTTCCACATCGTCATATGTAACGAGACTTTCTCGTATTTTCTAAAGCATATTTTTAGGATATTTTAATAATTCTTAGAAAAAAAAGTGATTATAAGTAATAGCTAAAAATGCTGAAAACTCAATATTTGAGGAGTTATGGCCATTTTAAAACGCTGAAAACTCAATATTTAATAGCTAACAACGCTGAAAGCTCAATATTTAAGGATCTATGGCCATTTTAAAATATCCAATATTTCACACTTAAAGAAGTGATCACAAATAATAACTAAAAATGCTGAAAACTTATAATTTAAGTAGTTATGGACATTTTAAAAAATATCCAATATTTCACAACTGTAACGCTACAGCTATATTACAATTGTGCTATAGAACCTGATATATAGCACGATATTGTACTATCTTTTACCATTTTTAATCGAACACCAAAATGAAGAGAATCTGGCGTTCTCTTTTACAACTTTTTACCAGACAAATTTCGCCGAGCACGGTTGCCAACTTCGAATTGAAATTTTTACTAGTTCTTCGTTCCCGGATTTTCTAGGCAAACCAGTACTCTCAGGGCGAGATTACAATGTTATCTTTTACTACATTGAACCATAGGTTTTATAGTTTAAAAGTTGTGCGCCTAACAGTATGCTACAAAAATTCAGATGATATATTTGGAACAAGTAAAAAAGCAGCTAAGTTTTCAGATAATTCCGTTGAAAATGTGGTTAAATGAATCAAAATACGGAATATCGGGAGAAACCGTTATATACGAGATATAGGATATCGTAGGCCTATATAGACAATTCTTTTCCAGGGGAAACAAGGAACTGCTTTTGTGGATTTTAAGACAATTCCATTGAAAAATGGGGCTGAAATCATCAAAATAACGAATAACGTTATATGGGGGATATACAGGGTTGCCCATATTCGACGGAATATGGAAATTTACATTCAACAGAAGATGCCAATTGTGAAAACTCAACGTGCTTTTAAAACATTAAAAAATGTAAGAAGTGCGTCTCTAGAAACACCATTAAGCGTTTATACGAAAAATGTTCGACTGGTAAGGCTCTTTCTAATCCGAAGAGGCCATATAAAAGTCGACCAAGGCGATCGGCCGAGAATATCGCTGCCGTACGAGCCAGTGTTGAGAGGTCCCCAAGAACATCCCAAAAACGCCGTTCTCAGCAGTTGGGCATGGCTCGGTCCACTTTACAACGGATTCTTCGCATTGATTTGCATTTGTTCCCGTACAAAATTCAATTGACGCAAAGAATGTTGCCTGCGGACAAGCCTCGTCGATTTAAATGGGCCCAAAGGTCCGTCGAATATGGGCAACCCTGTACGATATCGTAGTCCTATATAGACAAATCTCTTTCAGGGGGTAAAGTACTCAAAAAGAACCCCTTGTGTAGAATATCAGACAATTCCATTGAAAAATGTAGCTAAAATCATCAAAATACCGAATGTTGGGGGTGCCGTTATATGATGGCTATACGATATCGTGGACCGATATAGTCCATCTCTGAACTTTTTGTTCAAAAAAAAAAAATTTTTTTTAATTTTAAATTAACTATATTTCTGTTGTACTTTTATAGTTTGAAATAAAAGCCAATGTTTGTTAATACTAAAGGTGTAAAGATTTATTGGATGATGAGCGTTCACAGCTACTAATTTAAAAAGAATGAAGAAGTTACAATGTAGTGAGTCAGACTCGAGTGACAGACAAAACAAGACTGAGCAAGCTAAAATGGCGGTAGCACGGCGTCCTATTATATGGGCGTTGCCGTATAGGATGTTGCAACATGAGATGCCATATTGTTAATGTGGGTTGCCCCAACATCTCCCTCCTTAAGATGAGAAGGTGATCTTGAAATAGGTTCGACTGGTTGTCTGCGACTTGTTATTCTTTGAGGTGTCCAGTTTGGTGAACCTGTTGGAGTTGCAAAATGTTCTTGATGGTTAGGCAAAGCGATTTCGAATTCTTCAAGTAGTACGTCCAATGGTAGTTTTTGTCGTTCTTGACTGCTTGACTCTACCGATTCTCTATGTCGAAGTTGATCAGTATGAGCTCGTACTAGAATTTTCCTGTCCCCAACGTCGATTAGAGTGTTGTAAATGACTTTCCCTTTACGCTCGACTATTTCGCCTGTTGTCCAGTAACTTTTGTTTCCTTTGAAGTTTCTGGCATAGACCAATTCTCCGTTGCTAAACTCTCTGTTTTTGGTACCGTGTTTGGTATTGTACTGCTGTTCCATTTTGTGATTGACGTTATACTCAGGCGATTGTTGCTTCCTTAGAACGTCGAAGACCGTTCTCATTTTTCTTCCGATGAAGGATTCTGCTGGAGACTTACCTTCTGGTGCATTTGGATTTGGTGTGGATCTGTAGACTTCTAGGAAGGTTTGGAGAGATTCCGTAGGCGTTTCTTCCCCTTCTAGTTTTTTTAATGCACGTTTAAGTGTATCAACGAAACGCTCGGCTTGTCCATTTGAACTTGGATAAAAACGAACAGTCCTTGTGTGTTTAATGCCTTTTTTGCTGCACCACTTCTCAAATTGTTCTGAACAGAACTGTGTTCCGTTGTCCGAGACCAATTGTTCAGGATTTCCGAAGAGTGCACAATATTCGTTTAACATTTTTAATGTTGCATATGTGGTTGTCGTTGTTGTCTCGTATATAACAGGGTATTTTGAATACGAGTCGATGATAAGAAGATAATATTTACCTTTTTCTGGACCAGCATAGTCTATATGTATCCTTTCAAGAGGGTGTGAAGTTAATGGCCATGGGCAAAGATTTGTTTTTACTGGACTTTTTGCCGCATGTTGACAATTTTTGCATTTCCGAACAAAGTCTTCAATTTGTTTGTCGATGTTTGGCCAATAAACATAACTTCTGGCGATGGCTTTGCTGCGTTCTGCTGATAAGTGTCCTCTGTGAAGTTGTTGTAAGATTTGTCTCTGATATGATTTAGGAATTACTATACGATTATTGAAGAGAATACAACCATCGAAGGTTGAAAGATTTTCCTTGCGGTTGAAAAATTGAATAATTGATGGGTTAATATTTTTCTTGCTTTCTGGCCATTCTGTTTGAATGTATTTGAGGACCATTTGTAAATCCGTGTCTTTTGTTGTTGCATCGACGATCATTTTAAATGATACTGGGAGAACTGACATAGTTTCATTTATCTCGTTACGTATGTCTTCTTCGAATGATATTGAAGCCACTATAAAGTCATCTGCTGGTTTTTCGTGATTGTTGACTAATCTTGATAATACATCAGCGTGACCAAAGCCCTTTGTGTTTGTGTATTTAATTTCGAAGTTGTAAGCCAGTAATATAAGGGCCCATCGTTGTAAACGATTTGCTGTGTAAATTGGAACTCCCTTCTTTGAACCAAATATTGCGAGTAAGGGTTTGTGATCGGTGTGTAAAGTAAATTTGCGTCCGAATAACATTTTGTGAAACCGTTGAACGGCGAATATAAGGGCTAGGCCTTCTTTTTCTATTTGGCTGTAATTCTTTTCCGCTTGTGTGAGTGATCTGGAAATATGATGTATTGCCTTCATAGTGTTGTCTGGAAACATATGATAGATAACCGCGCCGATTCCGTGAGATGATGCATCGGCTGCTACATGTATAGGCAAGTTTGGATTGTAATGCGTTAAAAGAAGATCTGATGTCAAGATGTTCTTAAAGTCGTTTAATGATTTTTGACACTGTGACGTCCACTCGAACTTGGCGTCCTTTTTAGTAGATCGTCAAGAGGTTTACGTAGTGTTCTCATGTTGTTTACAAATTTCCCGTAATGATTAATAGAGCCTAATAACGATCTTACTTCCGAGACGTTTTCTGGTGTTTTAAGATTTTGAACGGCTGCTATTTTGATTGGGTCAGGTTTGATTCCATTTTTGCTTATTATGTGTCCTAGATATTTGATTTGTTTTTGAAAGAATTGGCATTTTTCAAATTTCAGCTTGAATCCGTGATCTTGAATTCTTTGCAAAAGCTTGTTTAAATTTAATTTATGTTCCGGAATAGATGGACTTGATAACACGATGTCGTCTATATATGCTTTTGCTCCTTCTATGCCTGCGCATAGCTTATCCATGATCCTTTGAAATGCTCCCGGAGCTGATTTTATACCTGGGGTTAGACGGTTGAACTTATATAGACCTTTGTGTGTATTGATGGTGAGAAGCTCTTTACTTTCGTCGTCAACTTCAACTTGTAAGTATGCGTCTGAGAGATCTAAGTGACTAAAGATTACACAGTTGTGGCAATCAGACATGATTTCTTCCGGTGTTGGTAATGGATACTGATTAGGTTCTACTATTGAGTTTAGTCCTGTTGAATAGTCTGCACATATTCGAATTTTTCCATTACGTTTGCTGACCACTATCGGCGCTGCGTACCTCGATGAATCTACCGGTGTGATTATTCCTGCGTTTTCTAATCTGAGGAGTTCTGTTTCAATTTCCTTTCTTGCTGCGAAAGGAACTGGTCGTTTGGGAACAAATATTTCTTTTGTGTTTGGCAATAATTGTATGTTGACTTTTGTTTTGCACAGACCTGGGGTACTGTTATCAAAAACTGATTGATAATTCGTTTTCAATTCTGCTATTTCATCAACGAAGTTTATTTGATGACACCATGAGGTTATTGGTTTCTGCCATAGATTGAATGCTTGAATCCAATCGATTCCCATGATATTGAGTTTTTCTATATCTGTTATATAACATTTTAATGTTTTTGATGTTTTGTCGATTGTGACGTCACATTGAAATTCTGCTAGGAGCTTGATTGAGTTTGCGTTTGCGTCGCTAGCGTTGTCAAAAGTTTCGTAGGCTTCAGGCTTACCTATAGCTTTCCATGTGTTGATAGATACAATTGATATGTCTGATGCAGTATCAATTTGAAGTTTTACAGGATTGTTGTTAATTAGGACAGTTGTGTATTTCCTTAAGTCGCGGAAATTAATGTTGTGTGTTTTGAAAACTGCCTTAGTTTTGAATGATTTCCTTGAATTGCTGTATTTCTTGAATTCGTTCTGGTTGTTTTCAGACGATGATTTGAAATTCTTACCAGTCTTAGCGATGTTGCAAAAGTTATTTTTATGACCCACTTGATTGCATGTTGTGCATTTATGTTTCTGGAAAGGACAAAATTTGACGTAGTGAAGGTCTCCGCAATACCAACAGGGTGAATTGGGTGTTTTGTGCTTCTTAAAGTCTTTTGCGTGCTTGTTGAGTGAACAGACGATTTTTGATTGATGTTCAATGAGAATGTTGTCCGATTTGAGATCTAGAATTCGTTGTGTTTCGTCTACTAGTTGATCTAGGTTCATTGTAGTGTTTTCATCATCCAGTACCTTTAGTAAGCGAAGTCTTATGTCGTTGTCCTTTGCTGACTTGAGTCCTAAGACGAAAATGAGACATTTGAATTGGTCGATTTTCAGTTCTTTCATTTTGAATAGTTCGCATTGTAGGTTTACTCTGCTTGCGTATTCTCTGAAATCTTCGCTGTCGCCTTTTGCTAGCTGAAGGCATTTGTATCTTTGTGAGACTTGTGTTTCTGTTTTACCAAAGAGTTTCTTGAGTTTCTCTACTGTATCCTTTAGAGTCATGTCTTCAGGTTTTGCTGGTAATACGTAGTTGGCAAATCTTTCATGTACTTGGTTCGACATTTTTCTCCATAACAAGGCCACTTTGTCATGTTCTTCGAGTGAGCTTGCTTCTTTTTCGAAAACATGCACAAACCTGTTGTACCACGCTTGAAATATCAGACCGCTCTCTGGCTCGTATACGAATGCTGTCATTGACTGTGCTAGTGATTCCATTAGTGCTGCTTTGGATGAATTTGATGTTTGTGGTGAGTGTGGTGAATTTGGTGCTCCTTGTGCTTGAAGAAGATCAGCCATATGCTTTAGCAGTTGCGTTTGTTGCGACATTGCTTTTTGTTGCTCTGTTAACAATTGTAGAATTATGTCTTGAGACATTTTTGCGGATTGTTGTGTGTGCAATTATTGATCAATTTCCACTATCCTCGTCGCCACTTTTGTTGTACTTTTATAGTTTGAAATAAAAGCCAATGTTTGTTAATACTAAAGGTGTAAAGATTTATTGGATGATGAGCGTTCACAGCTACTAATTTAAAAAGAATGAAGAAGTTACAATGTAGTGAGTCAGACTCGAGTGACAGACAAAACAAGACTGAGCAAGCTAAAATGGCGGTAGCACGGCGTCCTATTATATGGGCGTTGCCGTATAGGATGTTGCAACATGAGATGCCATATTGTTAATGTGGGTTGCCCCAACAATTTCGTTTTTTTCAGTCTGGTCTCCCATAGCGCCGATATCCGTGTCAGTGATGTTTCGTTGGATTTATCGATGAGCACCATTATTGGTTTGGCCGATTTGGCCGAAGACGAAGTGATCTCAACGAATCCTTTGCCAGTGAATGTAAGTAATGAAATAAGGTTCATAACTTTGAATTCAATAGTTAATTTCATCTATTTTTCGTTTTAGGTGTCATTGGAAAATGTTCGCATCAATCTAATAGAGGATCGTCCACCTGTCAATATTACCTCACCCGGACCAGTGCCCATTAATTTGGCCATTGGCCGCATGCATTTGAAACGTGATAAAAACGGTTTACTTCACATACAACCTATAGGTAGGGGACAAGACATTAAAAGATGGTACATTTATAGTTTGGAATCTCCTCCCCTTTTTTGATAGTTTTGTTTCCTTTCTATAAGACTTCTTAAAGTACTATTCATAGATAATGGAATGTAAAAAATCTGAAATACATTTCCTTCCTATCGTTTAATATGAATTATAAAATATTCGGATCCTTTGGCAATTCACGTACTCATTAACCTCGGAAGTACGAAGATCCTTAGAAAAAAAAAAAAACAAATTGTCTAAGCAAAAGTACAAATAATTAGTATTTTGCTTTTCTGATCGTTCGATACAAAATGGTTCAATATTTAGTTTCATTTGGTACTGTCTTCGTTCAAAGTTTTGAACTCCTTATTTTTTTAATTTTGGGGTCTAATTTGACCCATATTTGATTTTTTTGTGAGAAGAGACATTTGTAGTTTTTATACCCTACACCACATAGTGGTAAGGGTATTATGTCCTTGTGTTTTTGTTTGTAACATTACATTTGAGAATCTTCATAGGATCACTTTCTGAGTTGATTTATGCATACCAGTCCGCCTGTCCGTCCATCAGTCTGTCCATGTATTCTTGTAAATAAAATGCAGGTCGCATTTATTATTCGTTGACATGAAATTTTCCAAACAGTTTTTGTTTGGCCCAAGGACGAACCCTATTGTAATTCGTGATAATCGAATCAGATTTAGACATAGCTTCAACATATCTTCAGCCGATTTCGAGTTAATTTGCACCAAATGGCCAAAATCAGTCCAAATGACCAGAATTTTGGCACATCCGACAGAATTCAGTCTACAATGAAGTACATCAAATTTAGCTCCCATATATATGTTTTCTCCGATTTGGTGTTTAAGTCCCTCATATTCGTAATATGCATTCGACAACAATGATATTTGGTACTAGATATCTTATAAAGCTTGGAAGTATCTCTGCCAAATTTTATTAAGATCGGTTCAGATTTGGATATAGCTCCCATATACATCTTCAACCGATTTCGGTTTTATTGTGCAAATACTGGCAAATATCAGCCCAAATGGAGTGAATTTCGGGACGTACGTTTCCATTTTATGTAACTCGGCCCCAATAAATATTTTTTAAGACAATCCTTCTCGAAGTGATATCATGCACTCTATGGCAATAACATAAGCATAAAATATAAAAATGTGTAACTCAAATTTAGTGAAAATCGATTCAGAATTGGAAATGCCTCCCATAAATTAGTTTCCTCTGAAACCAAACTATAACTGCTCTAAAGCCAAATGTTTATAGGTGATATGATCTACTTCAAATAAATTATTTTGTTACGGGAGCTTTACTAAATATGCATAGTGTTGTAGGGTATCATATAGTCGGCCCCGCCCGACTTTTAACTTTTCCTTACTAGTTTATTATTAGTTCTTCTAAGAATACATTTATTACTCTTTATTTATATATATTATATATCCCTTTTTGTAATAGAAACAAACCTCAATGGTCCCGGTTCCGCAAACTATCCGCTTACCTCTGCTTTATTTAAAACACCTGAACCAACGCCTCGCGAACGGGAACGTGATCGTGAATTGATATCACTGCAGCTGGTAATGCAGCAAATCAAACTGGACAATGACAATTTGAGGAGGCAATTGCAACAGGCCAAGGAAAATTCGGATGCATATAGGTGAGTATATTGAACTGGAGAATGAAGACCTACTAGGGCTATTAAACGTGAAGTTTGTAACAATAATATTTGAAGTAGTTTTATTGTTAAGATTTTAAGATAAGTTTTTTGTATAGATCATCAGGTCCATTAATATGGTGTCTTTAATGATATGTTTTGGAAAGCCATCATATCGTTTAACATGGAATGTTTGAAAACTATTTTTAAGGAATTTTAGATAGATTATCTGGGCTATTGACAAGGAGTTTTAAGAATACTTTTTTCAAGACCTGTCAGACTAATAACGTGAAGTTTTTAGGAGTTTTTAAGACCTAATACACAACGAACGTCGATATTTTTAATACTATCAGGATATCTAACGTGTATATGTCTTGAAGACTTATCAGGATAATGAGTATAAAAATTATTTAAAACAAAAAAAAAAAAAAAAAAAAAAAAACAAGTAAAAAACTATCCATTGGTTTTGCCAGAATTGACAGATGTACACCCTTAGCCAATGTTTGATTATTTAAAAAATATTTTGACTTCTGTTATGATTATCCAAAATCTTCACCCTCTATGGTGTGGGTTTTGCAAGAATGAGCCAATATTGTCCATTTCGTATCGGACCTAAATAAATATGATAAAAATATTGCGACGTGCCAGTTTTGAACCTTTACGACTACCTTCTTCACTTTATATGAGATATGTGATAATTTTTAGAAAGTGTGTGAGGTACCAGATATAGTCGACCGAGGTGTTCAATTTTCATGCTTTATATAATACAGATAAAATATTGGTATAGCCAAAATTATAAGAAAATCGAACATTTATATCCAATTTATGGGAAATCATAAATACCATATTCATCTCAGATTTCTGGTTGACAGACATATATTTAGTTATAGTGAAGAATCGCCAACTTGTTTCGCAAGCTATGACAGATATAAGTATTGGAAATTATGACATTTTGTGGGTGGGGTACCAGAAGGGATTGATAGATATATATCATTATCACAAATCTTGCGTTAAAAAAACGTTGGATGTGTGAATTTGAAGAGAGTTGGATGCTTATTCCGCTTTCTTTAAGCGTTTTATTTTTCAAAAATCTTGAACCCTATTTGGGGGTTTGCCGAAAGAAATGGTCCGATCTGTACCATCTTTTATAACAGATTTTGTGTTGATGGAAATATTGAGATGTGCGGTAGAAGTCTGAATGGAATGGGATGTTAATTTCCCGTTTGATGAGCTTCATGGGTACTTTAAATGTTGGCCCTTTGTGGGGTATGTACCAGAAGGAGTGGACCGATATGACCCATTTTCACACCAGACCTTGTGTTATTAAAAATATTTTGATGTGTGTAATTTGAAGAGAACCGGATGCTTATTTCCGATTTTATGATCGTTTGGGTTATTCACAACTTTGATTCTTTGTGTTGGAGGTAGTGTTAATAGAAATATTCAGATGTACCAAGTCTGAATGGAATCGGTTGTTAATTATGCGTTTTATGAGTTTTATGGATATTCATTCATTTTGACCTTTTGTAGGGGAGGTATCAGAAGAAGTAGACCGATATGTTCCATCTTTACACCAATCTTTGGGTTAATAAAAATATTGCGATGTGTGCAATTTATAAGAGTTATACGTATTCAAAATGTTGACCCTTTGTGGGAAGGTACTTGATGGAGTGGACCGGTATTGTCCATTATCGCACCTGACTTAGCACTGATGTCGATATTAGGATTTGCCAAGTTGGAGCAAAATCGGATTATACTTTCCTTTTTTTGCAGTAAAATTTTTTCTTTTAAAATTTCAATTTTTTTTGGGGGGGATTAGGTTCCAGAAGGAGTGGATCGATATTGCCCATCTCCGAACTCAATCTAAGGTTGTCAATAGTATTACGATGTATCAAGGCCAATGAACGTGGACATTTTTAATAATACTTGCGTAAAGGACTAAAAATTCTATTAAAACGGTGTTGTTAGGATTTTTTTGGAGGGTATTATTAAATTTTTGAAGGACCAGAACTATTTTTTAGATTTTAAAAACAATTTTAGAAAGACTTTTTTAATAAAGATATTTATATTAATTTCCATCTTTTTATTTTCCAGACAAAAAACCAAACAAGAAAACGATGTATTACGTTCCTATTTGAAAGCGGCTCAAGATGATATTACCATTTTATTGGAAGAGAAAAAAGCTTTATTAGATACCATACGTTCGTTACAGGTAAGTCAAGGTTGCCCTTATCATTCATTGCCATGTTAATTGTTATGAGATACCCAGTGCGAACTCAATTTACCACATAATAAATTATCAAATCGGCAGAAATGTTTTATTTATTATACTGTTATTAAGGACTTATTTGTCTACTCGAATTTTTATAAATAATTTGAAAATACCCTTTATGAGTTCGCACTGTTCTCTCTTTCTAATCCACTATGTGTTAACATGTTCTTGCCTTCTGTTACATGAACTGCTGTCGTTATTTTTTTGAAAATGTTTTTTTCCAACACTTTTCGAAAAACTGCTCTTTCCACACAATTTCCTTTTCCGCTTTACTTTCGAAATGTGTGTCTGTTAATATTGTTTTGTACTATTTATTCTTCACTTATTTTGAAAATAACAACCAAGACTCAGGTCTACACACACAACACAAATGCAAGGAACAAACATGAAGGTTCGATGTTAATACTTAAATACATTTACACAAACATATACAATATAGCTTTTAATTACAGTAAATTAGTAACTTACAAGATTTAGTCAATTTTATTAATAGCATTTGTCTGTTATGAAGCAAATATTATTCACCAAGCTATGCGATCAGCATGAAGCCAATATCATTGCAACATTTTCATTTAGAATAGACATGAAGCCATAAATTTGGTCATAAAGGTATACTAGAAGATATTATCATGAATATAATGGCATTTACGAAAATTTTCTTTAAAAATTTATATTCTGAATTTTGTCGCGCAGAGTCATACTAATTCCGAGAAGTCTCAAACGGAATTATAATCGTATTTAGTTACTAGTTTTAATACCCTCGATTATACTTACTTTGTCATTCCGTTTGTAACTCCTTGAAATACTCATGTCAGTCCCAACAAACTATACAGGGTGAGATGAAAAAACTGCAACCAAATTCAGACTGCTGTCATTTCTAACCCACTCGTCCGACAGCTGTTAAAATGTTACAAAGTATAAAACCATTTTGGTGAGAATTTTGCAGAAAAAAAGTTATTCGTGATGGAATTCAAGCGTGATAGTGTGATTTCTTTATATTTGGCTGGAAAACCACAAGTAGCTATCGTTAGAGCACTCCAGCATTTAAATGTGAATAAATCTTTTTCGTCTCGTACCATCGCTCGTTACCGTGATACTGGTAGGAAGTGGACGGAAGAAAAGTGGACGTCAAGGAAGTGGACGGAAGAAAACAGCAACATCAGCAGGAATGGTTCGAAAAGTAAAGAAGCGACTTGATCGAAACCCGCGTCGCAGTGGCCGAAAAATGGCTCTTGAGCTGAACATATTGCAATATTCCATTCGGCAAATATTGAAAAATGAGCTCGGGGTAAAGCCATTAAAATTCCAAAAAGTGCAAGAACTTACACCGCAACAGAAAGAAACTAGACCCAGACTCAAAAGAGCTAAAGAGTTGCTTCGCTTAGCCGAAAGTGGTGAACTGTCGAATTTGGTTTTCTCCGTCTCCGATGAGAAAACATTCGTTGTCCAGTAGTTTGTAAACAAACGAAATTATCGTGTTTACTTGCCAAAGAGGTCAGCTGAAAATGTGCAACTTCGATTGGCCACCAGAACTCAAGCGCCGGCCATGGTGATAGCGTGGGCCGCCATAACAGCCGATGCAGACCTTGAACATTCCAACAGGATTCAGCACCATCGCACCCAGCACGCCCCACCCAAGAATGGTTACAAAATGAGGTTCCACGCTTCATTTCTAGCGCACAATGGCCACCAAAATCTCCGCACACCAATCCGTTAGACTATTGTATCTGGAGTATTTTAGGTTGGCACTAAGAAATACCAAAGTGTCGATCGGAATGAGCCAAAATACCGCAGAGCAATATTCGGGCAGCGTGTGACGGTTTCGTTGGCCATAATTCGTGCCAAAGGTGACCTGCGAACACATCTAAACTTATTCTAAAATTTGTTGCCATTTAAAACATTTTGGCGTTTGACTTTGTTGCAGTTTTTTTTTATCTCACTCTGTATATATTCTTGAACAGCGTAGAATTCTAAGTCGATTTTGCGATGTAAGTCTGTCTGCGTGTCTGTTGTAATCACGCTATGTTTCAATCGAATTGTGATAGATTGCTACAATTTCGCACACATGTGTATTTTGCCAGTAGGCAGGTTATGTTCGTAAATGGGTCATATCGGTCCACGTTTTCGCATATAGCCATAACGTATTTAAAGTTCGTAATGAATATTATTTGATGGCAGAAAATTGTCTGTGCAGATCCACGTCTTCGTATAGCCCCCATCTAACAGTACTTCCCGATTTTCGGTATTTTGATGATTTTTGCGACATTATTTACACGAGTTGTTTTAAATTTTGTATTTGAAGTTCGTTATGGATACTTCAACCTATGACCGAAAATAGTATGTGCAGGTCCAAGTCTTCGTATATCTCTCCTAAGCTCTCATATCATCAAGATCTTCGTATAGGCCCGGAAATAACAGTACCTCTCCATATTCGGTATTTTTATGATTTTAGCTACATTATTCACTGGATTTTTTTTCAAGTCTCGTATTTGAAGTTCGTAATGAATACTACAGCCTAAGACAGACAACTTTCTATGCAGGTCCACGTCTTCGAATACTCCACATGTAACTTTACCTCCGTTTTTTTTTTGTATTTTGATATTATTTTATTTTTTTTTTTGAAATTTTCCAAATTAGTTTCAAATGGTTACTCCAAGATCGGCCAGGCCGAACTTATTTTCACTCTTAGAGCTACTCTTGCCCTATTTTAAGCGATTCAAATAGGAGTGATTAAGGAGTGCTTTCATACAAAACAAAAGTGTGAAGAGTAGACTCCATACTCCAGTTAGCAAATGAGCAAATTTGTGCTCTAGTTCTAAGTGATCATTTATTTTCCAAAAAAAAATAGATATTTTTTTAAAGATTGTTATAGGAGTCATGCAGAGTTACTTTTGTAGATCAACTGGTGGTAAACTAATGTTCTTCTATAGGTGACCAGAGGCCTTCTTCAATAGACTTTTTTATTTTATTATTTGAGTAGATCCAAATGTCATCTACTTTAGAAAATTAGTTGGGTTACCTTTTAGATTACATTTTTCAACTCATCCACAGGTTAATACAACATCATACCCTCTTACAGACGACGGCTTTGCAATGTTGTTAATTAGTTTGAAATATCTTTAGAAAATCCATATTTCATATTTCACACTTTTCTCCACACCACCACTTAATTTCATCCAGAAATGCATTTTCACCTCCTACCAACTTTTTCATTTCATAATGTTTTTTCTAATTTTTGACTCTCTTGAAATGTAACATATTTCAAATAAACATTCCAATATATTTTTTGTTTTTTTTTCTTGCAACCTTTTTTCCAAAACCAAAAGCTCCAGGTGACATCTATGAGTATGAATAAGAAAAACGAGGGCAACAACAGGTAGCATAACTGCATGGATTGCATCCAGTGTTGCGGTGAAAATAATAATCCCTAGATTGGCAGTCAGTGTACCCCCCAAAAAAAGGAGATGGAAAAATAAGATAAGCTAAAAATCATTCAGCTCTTCGTAAACATTCGTAAAAAACGTAACTAATAAAACGCGATATTTTAATAATTAATACAATAAAAAAAAGTAATCAAATAATTAAGACATATACTATTGTAAATATTTAATTTAAAAATAATATTAATTATTGTAATAATAAAATTGTAAAATTATTGTGTGCTTTATGAGTTTTCTACAAAAAAAAACTTTGATTTAAACCGTGTGCGATGTTAATTTGATCGAGGATGGATATTTGAAATCAAAACAAAGCGCCCACAATGTTGTAATTTTTTAATTCAATAGAATTCATTTAATTTTAATTTTTCCGATGGAAATTTTGCATGTATATTCTTCCGGAGATTTGGTAGTATGTCCGATTAGACTTTGTGGTTGCTCAAGTCCAGAATGAATACTTGAAATCAAAATTAAGACCCAATATAGAGAGATTTGACCCAGCTTGGATATTTGCATTTTTCAACTTTGATGGAACTTTGGCATGTGTATTCTTCTGGAGATTTGAGGACCTCTTCGTATTTATTTGTGGTAAGATGTGACACTCTGGCGATTCAACAATTTTTAATTTTTCATATTTCTTTTAAGGGAATAAACTATGGACAGATAAGGAATCATTTTTTCATAAAAGATGAAAAAAACCTTGGAGTAATTTATCAGGGATCGAAAATAAGTCATTTGGAAAGGGAATGTTTCATTCCTCTTTGAAGAATTTTCACTCCTTTCATTCTTCGTTGTTTGGGATTTAAATATCTTACTCTTCTAGTGTTGCGGAATTCGATTTTCTTGGTCATAACCCCATTTCGGTCATCATCGATATCTAAAATATGTAATCCGGTACTAACCTTTTTGAAAATATGATAGCAAAAAATGAGGTCAAACTGTGGGGGTGGAGTGGTTCAAAAGACACCTACGTTCCGCATTAGAATGGATGTTTTTTATTTAAATTTGTTATTCCATTTCCTGCAACTCTGAGCCTCATAAAGTAAAGCCCCCCCCCCCAACGTAAAATTCTATGTCGATTTGGACATGAAGGTATGTTATTCTACCCATCTGTTGAATTTTCAAAGGAGCTCAAGCTATTGAAGATGGAGCTTTGGCCTAGGCCTTGATATTCTTTCTAGAATACATAGTATTGAAAATAATATACATTAGTGCACGTATAGACTCATAGCCCTCACTTCAGGGTACTTCCTGATTTTTAGTATTGTGAAGCTATAATTTGATATTTTGAGTTTTCAGTGGCTAGTTTAAATCCTTGAACATGCTCTTATAGCTTATTTTGAGATCTCAGTCGTTGATCTCCAATGTTGGACCATTTTTTGCTATAAGCCCCATATAAAGGTACCCTCTAATTTTCTGTATTTTGAAGTTTCAGTCCAATTTCCTACCAAACAATCTACAAATTGAAATTTCAAGTACTTAAGGTGTAGTTTAACTTTTTTTAATTCAAAGTAGGCCTTCTTTTTGGTATGGGCCCAATATAACGCTACATCCCGATTTTTGGTACAAGTAATTCTGTAATTCGATATCCGATGTGGTCAGCTAATGTTAGTGCTACACAGTGGAAAAATGATCAATCCTGCCAGAAAGACGCCTTTAGAACCCGGAACAAGGTGCCTCCTCATGACACCTGTCGACCAACTACACGAGAAGGTCTTACTGGTGCGACAGCATAATAAAATGCTGTCAATCACCATCTGGTGGAGAGGCAACCTTCGCCCAGGTACGTCAAGAAAGACCTTCATGATCTAGAGAGAGAGAGAGGTACAGAGATATAAGAGAGGGCCTCTTTTCAACAGTCCCTTCAAGCAGAACTGAAGAGAATTCACTCTGATGCGGTCTAAAAAGTCATGGAAGGATATAGAGTGAATACTGTACTCGGAGACCATCCCCTCCCATCGTAGCTGAAGAGAGAGTGCTGCCACGACAAACCCCAGTAGTTTTGAGGGAGTTAAAATTCGGATGGTGCAGCCGCCTCAATTCCTATTGGGTCCGGATTGACAGCTATTGGCAGAATATCTGCCCAGCTTGTGGCACAGGTCCACATGTCACGCTTCACCTATTTCGCTGCCCAGCCAAACCGACTCAACTAACTCGTTGAGCACGCAACCCGTACCCGATTGCATCTTTTTTGAGCCTGGATTTAGAAGCAGAATCCGATTGAGAGAGGTCAGAACGAACACAGCAGTATAGCTACTACAAAAACTCCTCGCAAAAATATTCAATGTAAGACCACTAGATTTTCGGCATTTTGAGAGTTTCGGTCCCAATTTGCAACCATATCAGCTGCAATTTGAAATTACGGGTTCTGAGGGGTAGTACGACTCCTTGCTAAAATATATTCAATGTTGATCCGGTTTTTTGTAAAGCCTCTCAAATTTTGATGTTCGATATTTTGAATGCTTCTGCCACAATTTTTAAACATATCTTTTGAAAATTCAAATTTTGGAGAATCGGGAATAGTTTAACTCTTCAAAATACGGGTTCTAAGCGCGTAGTTTAATTTCTGGTAAAAAAATATTCAATGGAGGACCACTGTTTGGAATAGCCCCTATTTAACGGTACCCATGATTTTCGGTATTTTTAAGCTTTCCGCCCCAATTTTCAATCAAATCTGTTGTAATTTGAAATCGAAAAAAATATTCAATGTAAGTTTATTTTTTGTATAGTACCTCATAGCGGCGTCTTTCTGGTTTTCGTAATTTTGAAGGTTTCCTCCCCAATTCCTAACCAAATCTTTTGTAAATTTACATTGCAGGTTCTCAGTGGGTATTTTATCTCCCCTGTTTTCGTCATTTTTAAGATATGGTCCCCAAACATTTTTTTAAATTTTTTATAGCCTACACATAACGGTCCTCCCTGATTTTCGGACCCCCTATTTGCATTTAGAGTTTTAAGTGGGTATTTTAATGTCAGAAAGGTTGAAGTTTATAAGTAATAATTTTCGTAAAGTGTAAAATCAGTAGTAGATCCTCTTCAAACTTCGCACATAGGAATATTTTGGAAAGTATTAGATCAAGATTGAAAATGGTCCGATCTTAGGGTATGGTGAAAATTTTGAAAATTCATAGAAAGTAGAATTTTTTCCTAATATATAAGCTTACGCCTTCCCCACACAAATGGTTAAAATTTAATAAAAACCATTCTGAATCCTTCATAAGACGAAGATACTGTCCGTTTTGATCGAAACATAATTTTTCTAATTTTTGCGCATCTTAATATGTTTGTCTAACTTTGACCAGATTGCAAAGATTTTAGGAATATTTTTTCAAGAACTTCCTAGTCAAAATGTATGGGGATTATAAAAGACGTCTTGACCCAGAATTTGCGTTCCTATTCAATTTTTTACGGTTGTCTGACCAAAACCTCAGAACCGTAATAATTTCCTTACATCGTTGATATTTTTTAGTAGACTTCATGTAAAAAGTTTTGTTTGAATCAAACCAAAAATAACTACCAATACTTCAAATCCTCAAAATTAAAACACGGTTTGAAGATTATCAAGGATTTTAAACTCCACAGCAAAGACATGCAATATTTCGTCCCCATTGAAAAATATTAAAAATTATGGACATTTTCATATTTAAAATTTGTTTTTCAAAAGATTTATTTTTATTTCATAACCTTACTTCATTGTTTTGTTTCCTTTTTTTAAACTAAGTCAAATTTTAATATAAATTTTAAAATAATATATTATGTTGTTTAATAAGACTGAAAATCAAAAATAAACAAAACGTAAATAATAATAAAAAATAAAACCCAAAAAACAATAAAGCATTGCGCAAATGAAACAAATTTTAAAAATTAAATTATTAAAAAAAAACATAAAAATTGTTAGAATTTTTGCCATTTGCAATTTATGAAATTTGCTAAATTTTTGTCCATGTGTGCTATAAGAAAAAAACAATATATATATATAAATACCATGTAATAAATATATATTAATTTTATTTAGTCAAAACTTTCAATTAAACTTGTTCAAAATATTTTAATTAAAATAAATGAAAATAAAACTCTACAACATATTTTAAACTTCAATTCGTTCATTAAACATGTCTTCAATAAAATAAAAATGAAACAAAAATTCAAAACGCATTGTTGTGATTCATAATTCATATCAAAAGAAAACTTTCTATAGTATTAAAAAATGAAAAATTAAAATATTATAAAAAATGAAACTATAAGAAATTATATGAAATAAAAATATAAAAAAATGAAATTATAAGAAATTATATAAAATAAAAATAAAAAAAAAAAATAAAATCATAATAAAAAACAATTGAAATAAAATAATATTTAAGCAAAAAACAAAAATCAAACTTTATTTTCTAATAACTATACTAATGCTTTAATTCGTTTATAAATAAAAAAATAATAAATATTATTTCCTCAAACTATAACCTTGTTCAAATAAATCATTCAGAAAATATTCCTTATGTTGTGTTATATATTCTAATGTTATAGCCATATTAAATTTTCTTCGAAGTTGGTTTAAAAATTATATGGGTCTTTAGAAACAAGATTTAATTATTGTTGTTTATATTGTGTTTGAAATAAAAACTAATTTTGAAAATAAAAGTAAATATTGTTTTCAAAAATAGTGTTTATAAAATAATCCAATCCAAAAATACGGCGTATCTAGAATCAGGAACATTCAGCTGTATAACCATTATCAAAATTCAATTGTTTCCGTTGTACTCCTACTACAAAAAGCCTTTGTTACTTATACAGGGTGAGATAAAAAAAAACTGCAACAAAGTCAAACGCCATAATTTTTATTTTTTTAATTTTATGAATGAATGCCAAAAATGTCGGAAATAGCATCAAATTTTAGAATAAGTTTAGATTTGTTCGAATTGGTCATCTTTGGCACGAATTATGACCTTCTAACGGCCAATGAAACCGTCACACGCTGCCAGAATGTTGCACTGCGGTATTTTGGTCCATTCCCGGCAAAGCGCTTACTTGAAGTGATCGAAACTTTGGTATTTTTTAGTGCCAACCTTGCTTTCCAAAATACTGCAGACACAATAATCAAACGGACTGGTATCCGGAGATTTTGGTGGCCATTGTGCGCTGGAAATGAAGCGAGGAACCCCATTTTGTAACCATCCTTGGGTGGCGCGTGCCGAGTGCGATGATGCTGAGTCCTGTTGGAAAGTCCAAGGTCTGCGGCCAAAATGTTCGCGTGCCCAAGGCTTTAGTGCACCCTCCAGAATATGTTCGCAATAATATTCGACATTTATTCTGATGTCACGGTCGATTATTTATTTATTATTATTTAATGACTCTACCCCGAGCTCATTTTTCAATATTTGCCGAATGGAATATTTCGGTATTTTCATCACACGAGCCACTTTTCGGCCACTGCAACGCGGGTTTCGATCAAGTCGAATGCCGATGTTGCTGTTTTCTTCCGTCCACTTCCTTTATGTTGAGCTACGCTACTAGTCACAGTCACGGTAACGAGCGATGGTACGACACACAGAAGATTTATTCACATTTAAATGTTGGAATTCTCTAACAATAGCCACTTGTTGTTTTCCAGCCAAATATAAAGAAATCACACTATCACGCCTGAATTCCGCCACGAATAACTTTTTTTCCGGAAAATTCTAACCTAAATGTTTTTGTACGCTTGTAAACAATATAATGAGCTGTCACTGGAATAATTTCAACAGCTGTTGGACGAGTGGCTTAGAAATGACAGCAGTCTGAAGTTGGTTGCCGTTTTTTCATCTCACACTGTATGTGGACAATAAAAACAAACAATTTAAAATATTTTGTTTCATAGAAAAAATCAAAATAAAAACCATCACAAATATGCAATCAAATATATTCACCCTTATAACTTTTTTTTTGTATTTTTTTCCCTATCCTTAACCGGCGCTTGGAACCACAGATTAACAAAAAAATCATTAAAAGTGGATTTTATTAAAATAGGCATTCTTCCTGACAAAAAATGTGGCATTCGAAATTGAATACATTTGCCTATTTTTCGTTTGTATGCGGCAATAGAAATTGTGTTAATTAATGATATATTTTATTATATTTAAAATCATATTTTATATATAAAAAACACCACTTGAATAAATATTTGAAATTTTAAACAATTTGTTTAAAATAAAATAATAAAAATTAAATTTGTAGCTAGGCTTAATCAAAAAAAATGTAAAAACTGCATTTAAAATATAAAAAATCGAATTTCAAAAAGCTAATTAAAAAACCACAACACCATATTATATTAGTTAGAAACCGCCCCTAAAAAGTTTTGGATATAAATTAAAATTATATATTTGAAAATCACATCGATTGCCGTTCCCAAACCACATTTTCTTTTCCAAAACTTTCCTTACATAAAATAAAAACGGGGTCTTATCCTGATATTTTTTTATAAATTGCCATTGTTTTGTTCCCGAGTAGCTGTGTGATAAAGAGAATATAAAATAGAATGTAATTTTATATATATAAAGGTGTCATCAGCGAAAAGATCCGAGCATTGATGGATATAGTAGGGAGGGTGCAAAATTTTGTATCATTTCTGCATGTTTAGACATTCGTTTGTTAAATTACCTATAGAGATCTCAATATTTTAGATGAATCTTTCAAACATTGATATGAAATTGACATGTTTGATATTGAAAATAAACCCATATATCGGTATCTCCTGAAAGGCACTATTTACAATTGAGGTCAACGAATACATTGGATTTGAATAATTTTGAAAGTTTCAAAAGTTATAACTTGTTGTTTCAGGCTCTAAACCTTCTCTGCCGAAAATAGTTCTTCTGATATTTGGTATTTCGAAGATTGAAGATGCAGTCTTTCGCATTTTATACCCTCAGTCATGTGGCTATAGAGGGTATATAACATTTGATGCGACCAAAACTCATGTCTCATCGAAATAACGGTTTTAGACCCTAGGTCTCTTTGAACCAAATCTGTTTCAGGACATTTAGAGTCGATGTAGCCATGTTCGAAGGGAATATCAGATTTTAACCAAATTTGGTATATCGTAGTATTATTATAAAACTTAGATCGAACTCGGCGATGGGCTATATTGGTCCACTCCCCACAATATGTCGAAATTTTCAAAATAATATTTTACTGCACCGAAAGAGAAAGAATAATCCGACTTTGCTCCAACTGTGCAAATCCTAATATTTGCATTCGTGCTAGATCAGGTGTGAAAATTGATAATATCGTCCCATTCCATATGGTACCTCCCCCACAAAGAGTCAATATTTGGAATAATTATAACTCCTTTAAAATGTGATGTAAGTCTCCAATTGCCTTCAAATTACATACATCATGATATTTTTATCAACCCAAGGTCTGGTGTTAAGGTGGAATATACCGGTCTGCTCCTTCTGGTACCTCCCCCCCCCCAAAAGGGCAAAATTTTCAAAAAATATATTTTCTGCGCAGAAACAGGAAGGATAATCTTATTTTGCTCCAACTTTGCAAATCCTAATATTTGCGTCAGTGCTACGTCAGGTGCGAAAATGGACACGGTCCACTCCATCAAGTACCTCCCCCACAAACGGTCAACATTTTAAATCATATATAATTTGATGTAAGAATCCAATTGTCTTCAAATTTCACACATCCCAATATTTTTATTAACACAATCTGGTACCAATATGGAATACGTCGGTCCACTCCTCCTGGCAACTCCCCCAAAAAAAGTTGTTCCAACTTTGCATATCCTAATATTTGCGGCAGTTCTAGGTCAGGCGCAAAAATTGATAATATCTGTCCCTTCCTTCTGGCACCTCCCCCACAAAAGGTCTAAATTTTGAATATAAAATGAATAATATTGGCCCACTACTTCAGAACCTACTGCATAGGAGGTCAACAATTTGAATAATCATAACAGAAGTCAAAATATATTTTAATAATCGAAAATTGTCTAAGGGTTTTAAGTTGTTTTTATAGAAATATTGAAATATTTACCGGAAGGAGTGAATCGATATTGCCCATTTCCCAACTCAATATAAGATTGATAATAATATTGCGATGTACCAAGTTTTTACCAAATGGGGTAGTCTCTTCGAGAGTTATCGTGCGCACCAGCCAGACAGAGAGACGGCCGGACGGACATCGCTAGATCGACTCCAAATATCCTGAAACGAATTTGGTCCAAAAAGACCTAGGGCTTAAAACCGTTATTTCGATGAGGCACATTTTGGCCGTATCAAATGATACCCTCTCTAGCCATATGGCTGATGGTATAAAAATTCTGTCTCGTTTAAATTTTTCTACCGAACAAATTTAGAGCGAAACATTGCAAATGAAGATTTTTAATTTTGAAAAAAAAAAACATTTTTCAAATTTACTATGAATTTCCGACTCGCTGGTAATATTTTCATATTTTTCCAAAATTTGGTTCATTCGGATATAGCTCGTATATAGATATATATCTTGCTGCTTAAGATCGTTTAGATTTAGATATACCCCCATATATACAAGATAGTTATAGCTAAATCTATAACTCACACAATTTTGTTCGGATCGTCTTCTAATTCAGAATATTGCATTTTTCTCTTGTATTTATTTGATAGATTCTTCATGATCCTATATTACGAATATCCTGTTTATGTTTACTTTTTGTGTCCAGATTTCAAATTTATTGTCCACTATTCAAAATCATACTCAAACGTTGCTTTAATTTTGTAATCTCTTAATGAAAATTAAAAAAAAAAAAAATAAAACTAAAAAAGAAAGAAATCAAAAAATAATTGTTGCTCTTAAAAATTATTGTAACATAAAAAAAATAAAACTCCATATTTAAATTTAAATAAAAAACTTACTCATGTAAAAATAGAAAATCGAAAAACTAGGTACTCTATATATATAAATATTATAATAATTATTAAATGTGTATTTATTAAACGGACATTTTGCGATGAAAGAAGAACAAAAATGGAAAAATAAATTATATTATTATTATTCAAAACGATAAAAAAAAACAAGTTGTTTGATTTTAATTATAAAATTTGTCTATTTAATATTTCTAACAATTGAACTAACTTTCGCATATAAAAAAATTGAGCTAAATTATATTTTTTAATTGCATTTCCTCTAGTCTCGGCTCAGGGCTAGCTGTACCAATGGCAGCACTTGAACTGATGACAAATCTGCCAGAATTGCCTCAATACTATCCAGTGAGTTCACCTGCATCAGGCTCTCTTTGCGAAATGACAAAATAATGATGGCAAAAATTGAGAGAATTTCCAGGCTATCAAATCCAAGGATCTGTAAGTATTCAATGACAATTTTAAAAAAAGAATTTACTTTTGGAATATAAATTTTTTTCAATAAATGCATTATTCTCCCTTACCAGATCCCATAACACCAACAGCTGATCAGGTGGCAGATGACCACTGAAGGCTCGCATAAGCCATTTGAAAACTACACGAATTCTGAAATTAACGTAAGGATAACAAAATGTGTCACAATATTTCCAAATGGATGGTAAGTCTTGTATTCCAAAAATTTACTTACGGCTGTATTTGCAACTCACGAAAATGTGACCATAACTGAGGCTCATGGGTCTGCAGCAATTTCTCAAAAAGGAGGCAAATACTCACAATGCCCTAAAATTGACATGATATTCAAAATAATAGAAATGTCAATTTTTTATACAACGAACATACCTGCGGATGTGTATTAATCGTGGTCAGCCGATGACAGTAACGAATATAAAAAGCACGAAATGTGAAATATAAATTGATCGGCGAATCGAAGAGATAACAAAATGTGGCAGCTAAAAATCATAAGAGGGCTATTTTAATGACCATTCATAATTTTTAAGAATATTAAAAAGGCGAATATTTGTTGTATAGTAGCGAGGGTATATTAAGTTCGTCATTTCGGTTGTAACTAATCGAAATAATAATTTTAGACCCAACAAAGTATATATATTCTTGATCAGCGTAAAATTCTAAGACGGTTTAGCCCTGCCCGTCCGTCCGTCTGTACGTCTGTTGTAATCTATATATCGGTCCATGATATCGTATAGCCTCCATATAACGGTACCCCCCGATATTCTGAATTTTGATGATTTTTTGCCACATTTTTCAATGGAATTGTCTGAAATGCAACACAAAGAGTTCTTTGTGAGTACTTTATCCCCTGGAAGAGAATTGTCTATATATCTATATATATTGTCTGAAACAAGGAGTTCTTTGTGAGTACTTTACCCCCAGAAATAGACTTGTATATATAGGTCCACAATATCGTATATCCCCCATATATCGGCATCTTCCGATATTCGGTATTCTTAAGATTTTAACAGAATTATAAATGGATTTTATTTATTTGAAATGGTGGAGGATATTCAAACTTCGGCCAGGCCGCTCCTTACTATTTTTAAGGTGTTGATTTCTAAGAATGCCTAAAGGATTTTGAGGTCTATAATCAAAAGAAAAGTATTGGATTTTCAACAAAAATTGTGATTTGAGAGCACCTTTTCGATTTTTATCCAATTCGATTTCTTAATACTTTTTTACAATTTTGAGGAGAAATCGTGATTTATTATACCCTACAGGGTATAATAATTCATAGAATCGCTTTCTGATTCGATTTATGCAAGTCAGTCTGTCTGTCCACGTATTCTTGTGAACAAAATGCAGGTCGCATTTATTATCCGATTGAAATGACATTTTCCAAACAATATTTGTTTGGCCCAAAGATGAAGCCGAAATTGGTGAGAATCGGTTCAAATTTACATAAAGCTCCCATATATACCTTCGTCCGATTTCGGGTAAATTGTGCACCAAATGGCTAATACCAGTCCAAATGACCTGCATTTTGGCACATTCGACTAAATTCATCCTAGAAATAAGTACTTCAAATTTAGTAAAACTCGGTAAAAAGACATAGCTATAGCTACCATATATAAGTTTTATCCGATTTGGAGTTTTAAGTCACATTCGTAATATGCACTCCACAAGAATAATGTTTGATATCAGATATAGCCCAGATTAGAATATAGCTCCCATATATATCTTCAACCGATTTTGGGTCAATTGTGCACCAAATATCCAATATTTTTAAGCGTGATATGCAGACAACAATGATATTTGGTACCAGATCTCTTAAAGAGCTCGGAAATACCTTTGCCAAATTTTATCGAGAGCAGTTAAGATTTGGATACAGCTCCCATATATATCCTTAATCCGATTTCCGGTTTATTGTGCAAATAATGGCTAATATTAGCCCAATTGGAGTGAATTTCGGGTAGTACGTTTCCATTTTGTGGAACTCGGCTCCGATATATATTTTTTAATATAATCCTTCTCTAAGTGATATCATGCTCTCTATAGGAATGTAATTTGATATAAAAGATTAAAATGTATCCGTCAAATTTAGTGAGAATCGATTCAGAATTGGATATGGCTCCCATATTTATTAGTTTTCTCTGAAACTAAACTATAACTACGCTATAGCCAAATGTTGATGGGTGGTATGATCTACTTCAAATAAATTCTTTTATTACGGTAGCTCTACTAAATATGTATCGTGGTGTGGGGTATCATATAGTCGGTCCCGCCCGACTCTTGACTTTTCCTTACTGTTTTTTTTAATTTTTTTGAATAATACAGAATTTGAAGAACTATCCTTAATTCTTAACAAAATTTTTAAAATATCCGTGAAATTTTAATATTTTTTTTTTGGTTTAAAATTTAAGTTTTTTTGAATAGTCGTTGGTTTTATAAGATTTTTTGAAGAATAATATAAAAGGAATTTTGAGAGATTTTCTGTACTAAAAACTTGGAATTTTTAAAAAATATTTGAAGACCTTATCGGGACTAGAATCATGGAGTGATTGTTGATTGTTGAAATCGAAAATTTTTTGATTTTTTTTGAGAGATTATCGGAACTCAGATCTTGAAATTTTTGAAGAATAATCATCAAGGAGTTTTAAGAATTTGATCGTGAATAGAATCGAGGAGTTTTAAAAGGAATTTAGAGAAGATTATCAGGACTGGAAGATTCTCAGTATTTTTATTGGAGTGATTGTTTGGACAGGAATCGCGAATTTTGAAGAGTTTATATTTTGAAGAATTAGAAGAAAGAAAGAAGAAAGGATATTTTAGCAATTAAATTAACAATTGTTTGGAGATTTATAGGGAATTATTTTTTGGATTTTTTCGAAGAGTAATCCTCGATTTTGAAAGTATTTTTGAAAATATTATCGTGGAGTCTTAAAAGGAATTTAGAGATATAATCGGTTTTTATAACGATTATCCTGACTAAAAACTGGATTAAAATTGAGTATTTTTAATTTTGAATTATTATCAGGCCAGGAAACAAGTCTAAAATCATGGTTTTTTAAAAGATTATATTGATATATTTTCTTCAACATTTATTATCACAATTAGAATCTGGACTAAAATCGGGGATTTTTACTGGACTTTTAGAAATATTATCTGGACTAGAAGCAGGACCAAAATCGCAAATTTTTTAAAGTTTTATTGAAGAGATTATCAGTGTTGATTCTAGTTCTGATTATCTCTCCAGAAACCTTAAAAAATAGTGAAGTTTTGAATAGATTTTGGAAAGATTATTACGACTAGAATCAGGACTAGAATGTAGAGAGGTTATCACAACCAGAATCAGGACTAAAATCTTGTATTTCTTAAAGGATGTTTGGACAGATTATCTCGACTAGAATCAGAATATTTCGAAGGGGTTTTAAAGGATTTTTAATGAAATTATCACAACTAGAATCAGGACTCGGGATTTTAGGATTTTTAAAGAGATTATCACATCTAGAATCAGGATTAAAATCGTGGATTTTTTAAAGAATTTTTTTTTGAAAGATTATCACTTCTAATATCATGTCTAAAATCGTGGATTTTTTAAAGGATTCTATAAGGGATTATCACAAATAACATCAAGATTAAAATCGTGGATATTTCAAAGAGTTTTTGAAAGATTTTTTTGGAGAATTTTTAAAGGATTTTTTGAGAGATTATCAGGACTAAAATGGTGAATTTGTTAAAGGACTTTGGAGATACTGGCATTGTGGATTTTTAAACAATATTTGGGGTTTTAAAGGATTTTTTGAGAAATTATCAGGACTAAAATCATGAATTTCTTAAAGGACTTCAGAGGTACTGGGATTGTGGATTTTTTAAAAAATATTTGGGTTTTTAAAGTATTTTTTGAAGAGATTTGTTAAGAGATTTTTTGAGAGATTATCAGGACTGAAATCGTGAATTTCTTAAAGGAAGTTGGAGATATTGGAATTGTGGATATTTTAAACAATATTTGAAGGAACAAGAATATTGGATCTTTAAAGGATTTTTGGAAGGCTGAGTATAGTGGATTTTTTACAGGACTTTCGACGAGATTAATAGGATTGGAATTGTTGGTTTTTAATGAGATAATCAGACTGAAATCCTGGTCGCTTTATAGAATTTTTGAAGATATTATCAAAATTAGGATCTCGGATTTTTTAAAGCATTTCTGAAGAAATTAGCGGGTCTATAATCCTGGTTTGTTAAATGACTCTTGATTAATTGCGAATTTATATTTTAAAGGATTTTTAAAGATATCGTTTAATTTTTTTTGGTATAGGGGAGAGATTCGGGGGAGATTATCAGGAGTAGAATTGTGGATTGTTTTGGAAGAATAATTGTGGTTCAAAGGATTTATAAAAAAAAAAACTAAAATTGTCATAATTTTGACGAAAATCCTGATGATGTCGATAAAAACGTGATTTTTTATCGAGATTATCAGGACTTTCAACCTGAATTTTCTCAGAAGATTTTTTGAGAAATAATCTTGGATTTGGACATTTATAAAACGATAGGGTCTATAATTTTGGAGAGATTGTAATGGTTTGAAGGCGGATTATAGCCATTCGATTTTCGATTTTTTAAAGAATTATCATTAAGTCTGTAATCAGATTTTATTTCTGGTATTTCTGAATCTTTTGAGGTACTATAGGGCAAATTTATATCAGGCCTTGGATTTTGAATAACCACATTAAAAACAAATAAGTCGAAGGGATTTGATCGTCGAAGGGATCGCCCTTAATTCAGGTGTAAAAATTAACAAAAGCGGTCAAATTTTTCTGCGCTTCTTTAAAAATAATTATTACCAGATTTAAATAGGGAATACATCAGCCCTACCATTGTAGTACCACAAATCACAAACATAAAAAATATATAAATTTTGTATAAACTCAACACTGCACATTGCAATATGGGCAACGTAAGGACAAATCAAATGCTAACTGATACTTTCTAACATTTTTTACAAATATTTTTCTAAGGACTTAAAGTACGGATTTTAGGGAAACCAGTAAGGAAAGCTCAAAAGTCGGGCGGGGCCGACTATATGATACCCTACACCACTATGCATATTTAGTAGAGCTCTCGTAAAAAGGTTTATACAGGGCATTTCAGAGCTCTATGAGATATTTGGTACAAAATCAAAATCTATCTAATTCTATCGTGCATTTTACGAACTATAGCTATCTCTGAACCGGGTTTCTCCAAATGTTACGTATTAGCTTCTAGACTGGTGATTTGGGCTGATATTGACCATTTAGTGCACATTTGACCCGAAATCGGATGAAGATATATATGAGAGCTATATCCAAATCTGAACCGATTTCGATAAAATTTAAAACAGCTATTCCTGTGCTCCATCTAATACCTGGTACCAAATATCACGGTTGTGGAGTGAATATTACGAATGTATGGGACTAAAACTCTAAATCGGATGAAACATATATATGGTTGCTATATCTATATCTGAACCGATTTTCACTAAATTTGATATACTTGCTTCTAGGCTGAATTTGGTCCGATGTACTAAAATTCAGTCCATTTGGACTTATATCGGCCATTTGGTGCACAATTAACCCGAAATCGGATGAAGATATATATGGGAGCTATATCCAAATCTGAACCGATTTCGATAAAATTACAAACAGCTATTTCTGGGCTGTATCTTATATCTGGTACCAAATATCATTCTTGTGGAGTGCATATTACGAATGTGAGAGGCTTAAACACCAAATCGGATGAAAGATATATATGGGAGCTATAGCTATATCTGAACCGAATTTCTCCAAATTTGATATACTTGCTTCTAGGCCGAACTCGGTTGGGTGTGCCAAAATTCAGGTAATTTGTTACAAACAAATGCACAAAGACATAATACCCTTACCACTATGTGGTGTAGGGTATAAAAATGTTAGAGCTGTATTAAGATCTATAATAGCATATTTGTTAACAACCATTTTCAAAAATATTTTTCTTTCTGATAGATAAACTTCTACTTTATGTTGATATGATTTCCATGTCTTACCAAACATACAAATACCATGAAATGGCACCACACCCGAAGGAGGGGCCTCATAGCTTTTACCCTTGATGGGATAGTGTTCGAATTGTATCATCTGGGCAATTTCGGTGTCGCGTGAAAAACACAACAACACCTGATAGAGGACATCTTCAAATACGAAATATTGATCATCATTCGAGGCCGTCAATTGGATGTCTTTGAACACCAATTTATCGACAATGTGATCGGTGGCCAGGACATTGGCCTTCAAACGATTCCAATGTTCAATGTCCTGAAAAGGGGAAATATTTCATAATTATAGAAACTTTTCACAATTTCAAATTATCTTACAAAACTATTAACATGACTACCCAACACAAAGGACCACAAAGCACCACGATAGGGAGCTGGGGTATTTCCCTTTCGCAGCAGATGTTGACACAGCGGGGCATGTTTCGATTCCAAAACCCGTTGACATTGTAAATTCATATCGGATGAACCGGCATAGGATTCCGTGCGCAATAGGTCACTGTAATGATTCCGCTGTAAAAGATAGGATAAATAATGAAAATGTAAATTATATTTTCGAATGTGAATTTTAAGGAATATTTTTAGAGTGAGTATTGGAAATGTAATCATGAGTCAAATTAAACGAAGAATTTCAGGAACTGTTGGAGCTATTATTTTTGAAAAGGAGATTTTTAAGTGCTTTCAGGGCTATATAGGTTGATCATTTCAAAGAATATTTTGAAGAGTGGTCATTTTTAAGGGATATTTTGAGGAGCTATCAGAAGTGTAATTCCAGATCTTACTCACCAATTCAAAAAGATTCTTCACCGGCAGCGATATATGTGAAAATTCCCATTTCGGCACCTGCCTATAAGAAAACCAGAAAAATAATGGAAAATCCATTTTCATATTATTATTGGAATTTATGTTCAGATGACATTACACGAACTCTGTATTTTCCGCAGCCTTGGTGGGACCCTTCAGCGAGAGTAAAACATCCAATATGTCCTTGGGAGCATAGACTGGTCGATAGTTGGCTAAATCTAAAAACATGAAAAAACAATTATTTTCAATTTTCAAATTCTCGAATTTTCGAAATTAGTCCTTTTCTCTCCAAAGTCCACCGAAATGTTATAGTAGGAAAAAATCATGTAGCTTGTAGTTCTTTCAAAATATATTCTTACCAATTGTATAATTACTCAATTCATCCCACTTGGAGAGTAGCTCATCTCGATCCGTTGATATGCGTGGTTGGCCCTGAGATGCCATTTTCAGTTCGGAGCACATAGCATTTAAACTTTTGCGTACTCGCCGATCCCATTGCACACCGGCACGTTTCAAATAGGCCAAGGGATCATTCTGGGAAGATAAAAAATTAATCTGAGGAGTAAAGAGGAGCCCTGAGGAGTCATCCCATATGTGAAGACTTTCTGACGCTCTATTATGGATAAAAGAGGAAGATCCCGACGGTCTTCTATACACAGGTGAAACCCACTCATGTTCTACTATACCCAAATGCCCTTGGGCATCAGGAGGTCTTCTACATTTAGAAGATTGTCAGACGGTTTTCTATCTATATAAGATCCGCAGGAGTTCTTCCATCTACAGAAGACAGGAGTTCTTCCATCAGGAGGTCTTTTATTTATAGAAGACCATCAGAGAGGTCTTAAGGAGATCTTCTATATATAGAAGACCTTCAGTGGTCTTCCATCTATGTCAGATCGTAAGAAGGTCTTTTATCTATGGACGACTCTAAAGAAGTCTTTCCATCTAAAGAAGACCCTCAGGAGTTTTTTTATGGAATATCCTCCGGAGGTCTAATATCAATGGGAGACATCCTCTGTCTACAGAAGACCCTCAGAAGGTCTTCTGTCTACAGAAGATACTCAGAAGGCTTTCTTTCTACAGGAGACCCACTGGAGTTATAAAATCTATGGGAGACCCTCAAGAGATATTCTATTTATAGATGACCCTCAGGAGGTCTAATAACAATGGGAGACCCTCAGGAGATCTTTTACCTACAGAAGACCTTCAGGAGGACTTCTATCCTCTGAAGATCCTTAGGAGGTCTTTTATCTACAAAAGATCATCCGAAGGTCTAAAAACTATGGGAGACCCTCAGATCTTTTATCTACAGAAGATCCTAAGAAGGTCTTCTATCCACAGAAGATCCTAAGACGGTCTTCTATTCACAGAAGATCCTTAGAAGGTCTTTTTTCTATAGAAGTCCCTCCAAGGTCTTCTATTTAAAGAAGACCCTTAAGAGATCTTCTATCTGTAGAAAAGAGGTCTAATATCTATGGGAGACCCTCAGGAGGTCTTTTGTCTACAGAAGACCATCAGAAGGCCTTCGATCTACAGTAGATCCTCAGGTGGTATTTTATCTATAAAATACCCTCTTAAGAAGACCATCAGGAGGCCTTCAATTTTTAGAAGACTCTCAGGGGGTCTTCTATTTATAGAATACCGTCAGTACTCCTATCTGGAGAAAATCCTCAGGACGTTTTCTATATTAAGTAATCCCTTAGGATGTCTTCTTTATTTAGAAGACCCTCAGGTGGTCTTCTATCTGTAGAAGAACCTCTGGGAATCCTATCTATAGAAGACCCTCACGGACTTCTAGCTAGAGAAGGCCACCAGGGGGTTTTCTTTATTAAGAAGATCCTCAAAAGGCTTTCTATCTATTGAAGAACCTTCAGTGGTCTTCTATCTATAGGAGAACCTCAAGAGGTCTACTTTTTATAAATGACCCTGAAGACTTATTCCATGTAAAGAAGACCCTCAGTCTCCATATAGAAGATTTTCTATTTAAAACAGACCCTCTGGAAGTCTTTTATTTCGATAAGAGGTCTTCGACTTTCTTGAGGTATTCGGTTTTCTGTAGATAGAAGATCTGGCGTTTCTGTAAATAATCCTTCTATAGAAGGCGCTTTTCCATATATACAGGATACCCTCGGACTTCTGCAGATAGAAGACCCCTTGACGGCCTGCTTTCGATGAGAGATCTCCGATCGGTCTTCTGTAGATCTCCTCTTGACAGTCTCCTGCCGATAGTTTATTTCTTCTTCAACACTTACTATATTAATCTGCGACGGCTTCTCTTCCGGCTTCAATTTGCTGCGCACCAAATGGAAAATAATATTGCGTATTTCCGTTTCCAATCCGGCATTTTTAATGGCCTCCTCCAAGGTGTTGCACATATCATTGCGGTCCACCGAGGGGCTGCAAACCAATTTCTAAAAAAGATTTTATATTAAAATCCACCTCACTTATGTTGTGGAATTTCAAACCCCCTTCCACACACACACCCACCTGAACATTTTCATATAATGGCTCATAATTTTTCAGTGTCTTGATGGTATTGATCAGCTTGGCAGCCGTATGATGGATGCTGGCATCTTGTAGTTCCTCCATGGTGTTTGTTTTCGTTCCTCTTCCTTTTTTTGATGGCACTGATTCCGTGATAATTTATTGCAACGTCAATCATTCATTTGGATTGAAATTTTTCTTCAAAATTATTGATGGGGTTTTCCATTCACACACATGCACGCTCACACATAAATCTGGTAGTTACAACCGCCGAATGACTGACGGACTGATTGTGTATTATGCTGGATATTTATTTAGATTTCCGTAAATTAAACCAAACACTTTTTTTTCGAATAAAAATATTAATAATAAACTTTTCAAAATTGATTGCTATTTCCAATTGATTTTGATGTGTTGTTTATCATTTTTTTTTGCCGAATAGTAGTGAATTGAGTAATCAGTATTTTTTGGAAATGGGAAAAATTGTTGATTTGTTTATAGACTACTCGAACCGGGTTGCCCAGGCAACTAAGTCCGGGCATGGTAACCTCGGAGTTTGTTATGTTGTTGGCAATGCTATGGGAAGTTTTGAAGGAATTTATACGAAAGCATATAAATAACTATTATGTTTTTTAAAAACAAGTTTTTTATTTATTTATTTATATTTTTTTAACAAGTTCGCAAAATTTGTCGGTGAAGACCTTGATTTTTGGATTCTTAATTTTCCTTTCTGAAATACGTTCAAATATATTTAAAAAATCGAGGATTGGCAGAAAATGATTTTTTAAGGGAAATTTTGTATTGTGTCTGGAATCCGTTCAAATATATTTAAAAAAATCAAAGATTGTCAGGAAATATTTTTTTAAAGGAATTTTTGTGTTGTGTCTGGAATCCGTTCAAATATATTTAAAAAATCGAGGATTGGCAGGAAATGATTTTTTAAGGGAATTTTTGTGTTTAAAATAATATTTGTTTCAAATCGCGACTTTTTGCCAGGAGGTCGTTTAAACAGGGTATTAATAATTTTACCATTTTTTGGTCAAATATCCAAATTTTAAAAACAAACATGTTTTTTACCATGAAACCGGTAGATTATATTTTTTAAACCCTACATTTTTGGGTCAGGAGTCAGCTTAATTTTTTGTAATTCCTAGCCTTTATCCCTCACAAAATATTTTTAAAAATCCGCGACGTATGTCCAGTACAAAGAAAAAAAACTTTAAAAATAATTTTTAGGGAATTCACGACTTTCGTCCAATAGGCAAAATATGTTTTAGAAAATCCCGACACTTGTTCATTGCGAAAAAATATATATTTTTTTTAATTTCCCCGGCAGCGAAAACTCCACCTTATTTTCGTTCCAACATCTCGGACTCAAAATGTAAAATTTGTTCAAACTTTCAGACTTTCATGATTTTATATATAATTCAAGTTTTTCCTTTTACCGGAAAGAATAATAGGCAAATGTTTACCTTTTAGACCAAAAAGTTTTCAAAATCTTTCATTTTTAAGTTGACCGAGGAGGATATTACTGAAACCATTGCACAATTGACCAGCCATCAATTATTTTGTCCAAAACTATTTCAATGTTTCCATATGTAAATCCGAGAACCTAATAGTGACCTTAATACCAATTTTAGAATTTTATCTCTATCCCTTCACCCAATGCCATATTTGGTACCATTCAGTACTTTTCGTACAATTTAAGTTCAAATTTCCGCAATCACTTCCATATGGCTAGGCTACACATGAAATGCGACGCTAATCACAAATTTTAGATTTCAAGCACTACATGTTCACCCAAAGTCAAATTGTACCAAACGTTGTACTAATTCGTACTTTTCGTGCTTGTGTACTATAACACAATCCCGACCACCTCCATATCTCAATCCCAGACACCAAAAGTGACATCTAAATAAAATCTCAGGATTTTAGTTCTTTCCCCTCACCCAATAACTAATTTAGTACCACTGAGTACTTTTTGAACAATAATCGTACACATTTTCAATATCAGCTCCATATCCTAACCACAGACAGCAACAGTGGCATCTATATAGCATTTAAGGATTTCACCTCTATTCCTTCACTCAATACCAAATTTCGTACTATATAGTGCATTTCGTACAATAATATCACACATTTTCAAAACCACCTCCATATCTCAATTTTAGATGCCTACAGAGACATCAATATCAAATTTGAGAATTTCAGCCCTATTGCTTTAACAATTACCAAATTTAGTACCATATAGTACATTTCGTACCACCATTAGTAAACCACCATTAGTAATATAAATATCGACATTTCAGAATTTAATCTCTATCCCTTCACCCAATACCAAATTTGGTACCACTCAGTACATTTCGTACAATTAAAGTACACATTTTCGCAATCACTTCCATATGTCCAGGCTACACATGAACTGCTTCTCTAATGCCAAATTTTAGATTTCAAGCCCTATATGTTCACACAAAGCTAAATTGTAACAAACCTAGTACTATTTAGTACTTTTCGTGCACTTTTAGTACACAATTCCAATACCAACAGAGACTGCATTATCAAATATCGGGATTCCGTCTCTATCCATTCGCCCAATACCAAAATTAGTACCACTCAGAATTTTTCAAACAGTTATGGTGCACAGCTCTATCCGAATACCAAATTTAGTACCTCTTAGTACTTTTCGAACAATTATAGTACGCACTTGCAAAATCACCACCAGTTTTCAAGACCAAATACGAAAATAGACCATGAGATTACATTTCGGGATTCCAGCTCTATACATTCATCCAATACCAAATTTGGTACTTTTGGTACAATTCTGGTACACATTTCCAAAACCACCTCCATGTCTCAATTCCAGACACCAACATAGACCTCAACATCAATTTTGAGTTTTCCAGTCTTATGCTTTCATCCAATACCCCTCAAAATTTCCGAAACAACCTCCTTATTGTCAGGCTACATATGAACAGAGACCCAAAAAAAATCAGATTTAAGCACTCTCTGTTTACTTGTACCCCAAATATAGTACTATTTAGTAATTTTCGTACACTTGTATAACAGATTTTCAAAACCTCCTCGTTATTGCAAAACTAACACCAACAGGAACCCTAATACAAAATATCCAAATTCCAACTTCATCCGATCATCTTCATCTGTTCAAAATTTAGTACAGTTCGCACACCTAGTACACATTTCCAAAATCAGCTTCCTATATCAAACTTACTTTCCAACCTTTGTTGAAATACCACATTTTAAGTTTTTAGCTCTCTCGTTCACATAAAACCAAACGGCACCATTTTAGAACATTTCCTTACCTAAAAGTTCGAAATTCCAAAAATCTTTTCGCACATCTATCCAGTACTTCATCAATGACACTCATTTCAAATTTCAGAATTCTAGCTCACTCGCTTTGCCCAACACAAATATTACATTTTTAGTACATCGTAGTACTTTTCGTATCCTTTTATTACGAATTTTCAAAAATCCAGCTATATTACACATCTACGCACCAAGACTGTCCCTCGTGCAAAATTTTAAAATTAATCGGTCAGATATTTCACTACTCTTTTGAATAAACGAATATTGGCTGAGGATATAAAATTGTCGGCAAATCCGACTGATGCCCCGATTTTTATAAAAAATTTATAATTTTTTTACGTGCATTGAAGAGTTTTTTTTTTTTTTAAATGAATTTGGTTCTATAGAAAGTGCAAGGCCAAATATCTGCCACAGAAACTTTTTATAACCTCAGCCATATGGCTAGAGAGGATATATATATATAATTTTATACGGCCAAAACGTGCCTCATCGAAATAACGGTTTTAGACCCTAGGTCTCTTTGGACCAAATCCGTTTCAGGACAAATTGTGTCGATCTAGCAATGTCCGTCCGTCTGCCTGATGCGCACGATTTGATCCAAACTTGGTGCATCGTAATATTATTATCAAACTTAGATCGATTTCGGAGATGGGCAATACACTTCTTCTGGTACCTCCCACACAAAATGATAACGTTTTCAAAGAAAATAATTTACTGCACAGAAAGTGAAAAGATAATCCGAATTTTTGTCAACTTCCTAATATTTGCATCAGTGCTAGGTCAGGTGCAAAAGTGGACAATATAGGTCCACTCCATCAAGTACCTCCCCCACAAAGAGTCAATATTTTGAATAATTACATATCTTATAAAATGTGATGTAACTGTCTGACTGTCTTCAAATTACACAAATCGCAATATTTTTATTAACTCAAAGCCTGGTGTGAAGATGGAATATGTCGATCCACTCCTTCTGGTACCTCCCCCACAAAGGGTCACCATTTAGAATATTCATAAAGCTCATAAAACACAATATTAATATCAGATTTGGCGCATCTCAATATTTCCATCAAACGAAGATTTGGTTAAAGATGGTGGGAATCGGATATTTCTTTTTGGTACCTCCTCTACAAAAGGTCAAACTTTTGAAAAACCAAAACGATCATAAAATCCGAAATAAGCATGGGTCAAAAAGGGTCAAAATTTTGAATAACCATGAAGCTCATAAAACACGAAATTAACATCCGATTCTATTCAGACTTGGCACGTCTCAAAATTTTCCTCAACACAAGATCTGCTATAAAGATGGTAGAGATCCGACTATTCATTCTGGTACCTCCCCCATATAGGGTTTAGGGTTTTGAAAAACAAAATTGCTTAAAGAAAGCGAAATAAGCACCCAACTCTCTTCAAATTTCACACATCTACATATATTTGCTAACGAAAGATCTGTTGTGAAGATGGTATATATCTGCGAACCCCTTCTGGTAACTTACCCACAAAGGGTCGCAATTTTCAATACTTATAACTTGGGGAAAAAGTCAGCGATTCTTTACAAATAAATATTGCTCTCAGCCTTAAACCTGAGACTAATATGTAGTTTTTATCGGTATTAGATGAAGTATGAAAATGGAATACTTCCGTCGAATATATCCGGTACCTATCACATCACATTTTCTAAAAATTATCACATATCTAATATAAAGTCAAGGGAGTAACCAATATAGTCCAAAACTGGCATGTCGCAATATTTTTAAGCATATTTACTTAGGTCCGATACGAAATCGACAATATTGATCCATTCCTTCGAAACTTATTCCACAGAGTGTCAATAATTTGAATTATCATAACAGAAGTCAAAATATGTATAAATGATCGAATTTATTTTAATTAATTAATTAATTTTTGTTAAAAATTGAACTTTTGTGACACCCCTTGGAGAATTTTTTTCATTTTTGTCAAAAATTATTTCAAAACCAAATATTTACCAAAGGAACAATTTTTATATTTTTTCCTATTTATTAGAATTTTCCTCCGATTTATGAAATTACCAAAATTCCAATTTTTAAACCTGTGCAAAATATCCTCTACGTCATTTTTATTTGCGTACTACCATACCAGAAGAATAATTTCAATTATCTTCATTACCATCCC